TTCCTGAGGTCACACTGGTCCTTGTTTTCATTCAACAAGTTGTTTGGAGTCCTATTCAGAACAAATTAACCCGCAGATTGTCATCTGATATCAATTAATTAATTCCAATTAGCTACACCAGGTAATCATTGAGGGTCAGCCTGGGCTCCTTTAATATGCAGGGGTCACCTGAAGTTAATCAAGACCACATTTCCTTACAGTCACTTGAGGCCAGTCTTATATCCATTTAGTAGAACAGCAGGAATATGTGGCCGTTCCTAGCTGACCACACTGGACCACCCTTGCTCTCCTTATAAGTTGCTGACCTGACTGTTTCCTGCTCAGATATCTTCAGAGGGCACATTAACACTTCAAATGTCATAGCAGGGATCATCTGAGGAGAATCATCTCTTTTTTCATCATCAGGTGAGATACCTGTTGAAACCAGGCCACCCTGACTACACTGGTAAAAGCATTTTAGTACACATTACTGCTTCACACTACAGACCACAGAAACAAGATGACATTGGCAGTATCTCTGTGGGACAAGAGTTCAGTCAGGAAAAACAGCAGGAGAAGGGCTTAGAAGTCAGACTGCTCTCTGTGCCTTAGCCTCCCCTCCTCTTCCTCGTCTCTGTCCTCCTCCTCTTTCATCTCCTCCTCCCTTCCACCAGTTATGCTTAGGTTGGGCTGCCTGCAAAGTGTCAAACCTAAATCATACTATTTTCAATAGCAACCTGAGAAATGGAAGGGTTTAGCCATTTACCTAAATCTTTGACAGGAAGAACATAGCCAGACTTCCTTTAGGCAACAAAGTTACTCCTTTCTTGCAGAACTTTTCTCTGATTTTTCTTCTTGAACCTTAAGCACTTTTAAAAGTACCTAGGGTATTTTAAAGCACCAGTTTATTTTCTGTTCTGTAAACAGAACCAATGCTGTGGAAGCAAATGGACAGAGCACTATAACTGTTTACATGCTCTTCAATATCAAAGAGGAAAATAGTTTTTGCCAATTTTAGTCTGAAATTTTTCTTACCCAGGAATAGTTACCATGAACTGGGAGGTCAAACTCTCTTCCAGGATAAGCCAATGTATGACAAAGACAGTAAAGAAAAGCTGAAAAGCATAACAGATCTTGCAAATGATCTAGCAATAATGGAAGCACTGACTACTCTGGTGTGACCACAGTTAATGAGAAGGCCCAGGTCAATCCAGACAGGTTTTTTCTTTATCTCTGGGAACATTTTTCATCTAAAAGTGACTTGCATCAATATCCTAAGAACAGAAAACAGATATAAAAGGTAGCAGATTTGAAAACTGTTTATGTCAGCTCCCTGTTTACACTTGTGGCTATACAGGCTTTTCATATCAGAGAACTAAAATTACAGTAAAAAACAAGACTTTCATATTAAAGTAATGACATCTATATTTCTAAAATCTGCAGCGGTGATTAGATTTACCAAGCCTTCTAAGAATTGAATACACACCTCAACTAAAAATAAAATAACCCCAGACTTTACTTTGAACAACTAATAAGTAAATTAAAATACCTACTTTCTTCTTCTGTAAATTAAGATTTGACTTATGAGACAGATGTAGAAGTATTCTTGCTGTAAGTATATTAACTACAGTAATAGAAACTAATACTCCAGAACTAAAACAAAAGAGGAGCTGGAAACCACATGATAAATATAGAATAGATGTTTATTACTTTGAGATTAAGGATTAAAATATTATCTGTAGGTTGCACCTTTTTCCCTTAGTGCTCAGAAATGTTATTTCATTTTATACCTATCAAGAACAGAAATATGAAAGTGTTCTTTTATTCTTTAGCAATAATATGAAATAGAGTGACAAAACTACAACAAATACAAATTCATTTCTAGAAAATACAAGTGTAATATCCCTTTTGATTTTATTGCACTAACAATAAATTAATAACACCAAATGCACCACAACTTCGAATAAAAGGAAAAACCCTTCCTGAGTATGGAGTTTTCAATTTCTGAATATTTTTCATATGTTCAGCTATATCTCCAGTACAGCAGATGCCAAAAAAACCATTTTGCTGTGGATAATCCCAACTGAACTCCTAAGTAAACTTCTTTTGAGCTCACATTAAAAAATGAGCTTATAAATACTCTGTTGGATTTTTTTTTGTTTTGTTTTGTTCTCTCAAAACTTTACTGCCTGATTTATTTGAACAAAGTAAACAGGGATTTTTTTTCCTGAACCCATCAGAATTATAAAAGAAATCTGTATGTGCTTTTCAGCATAAACATATATTGATGCTAATAATCAGAAACTTCTATGGTTTCGTTTGACACACATGCTTTCCTCTTCCACTCTAGCTGTCAAGCAGCTGGAGAAAGGACCTTACTTCCACAACTTTCATTTCACATGAACCCAAGTTTCAGTGTGAGTGGTGATTACTGCTGTCACCTTAAAAGGCTGTTGGGGTTTTTTTCATGTCTTCAGTAGGCATGTGTTTCAATCCAAGGACAGTATTTAGAAACCAAAAGACAATTTTAAAAATGTACAGAATTTGTAGTAAGAAAGACCTCAAAATAAATATATTTTTTAATTATTTTCAAGATAATTTATTACTGAACTAAAAATGGGGGGAGAGGAAGGTCTTTAATCATACACTTAAGTTTACAGTTTAGTAAAATGTGAATCATCACTCCCAACAATGCAAAAAGAAAGGTGATGCATAATTTATCAGCCAGCAGAATTACTGGACTTCTTCAGCTTAGTGTCTCCACACTTGGAAAAATTAGTGCAAGGATAAATATATACAATGGAACAATTTGAAATGCCTCTCTCTTGTTTCATCCACTTAATATTTCACACTGAACAAAATTAAATAGCTACAAAATTAAATAAACTACATTTTAACACAGATTAGTATCTTGCAAGGATCCCCAATTTCATACTGTAATATAGTATTTGCCTTGACAGATACTGGCAAGAAGAAATAAGATTAATCTATCTGAGCTTGCTCTACATCATAAGAATTCTCACAAATGTTGCTATGAATGCAGGAGCCACCCACTCGTGCAGGAAATAGGAGCATTGCCAAGAAAAGGTCATCTGAAGAATGATTTGTGCATGCCTTCAAAACTTGTAAGGAAATGAAAGGTGCTCAGGCCCAGCCTGGCCTAGAGTTTATTTTTTGTGTATAATATTGTCGCGGACCGACTCCGGATAATATAAATGTGTTCTAAATTTATGGCAACATTTAAGAATACAACACTATCAGGGCATGACTACATTGTCTATGACTTTACAGACATATCTATGTGTCATTTAACTTAACTGCATTTAAAGACAGACAAATAGTTAAGAGATCTTTGAGATAAAGATCTTTCTTTAAAGTATGTATGTATTCATGTAAGCACATATCTCCCTAAAGTCAGATTTTAAAATGATAACCACAGGAAGCAGAATTACGACCTTATAGGCATATGGACCAAAATTCACCCCCAGTCTGCAAAGATGGAATCAAACTACCTCTTTCACAGACAAGCTATGTTTTCTGGTATATTAACTTGCTTCCAAAAAGAAGAGCCAAAGGAAACTATATATTTTTCAAAATGAGAAGTGTAATGTGATGGGGAAAAATATGGGGGGTTCTATCAAATTATGTCAAAAATAAAAAAACCCAATAGGAACCTCTTCTAAATGCTCTAAGAAACTGAAAGCATCTGAGTTAAACATTGCGTAGATGATTACTTCAATGACTGTTTACAATGCTGATTACTTCAACATCAATATTATAATCAATATAAAAACTGGGGACACATAACTTCCTATGTATATGCAGTCACTTAAGATACCAAATAAATCACAGATCACAATAAAAAGTCCCCTTACATATGGAAATATGATTTTTTTTCCTAATGACTGACATTTGAACATTAGGGTTTTTTACTCAACAGTAAAGTACAAAGTTGCTTTTAATGGTAAACCTGTACTAGAACACCAGTTGTGTTAGAAATACTTCTGCTGAAAACTTCTTTTCAGTCTTTACTCTACAAAAATGATATTGCACAGATTGATTTTTCTGTTTTCTGAACTTCAGCTGTAATCATAGGGCATCAACTGAAACAAATGTGGATGCTGCCTAATATAATTGCACCTCTGTTAGACAACACTCTTATGTTCAGCCTGACATTGACAACAAGTTAAATGCCAAATGGAACATAGTATTCTTTGTGACTTCTGAAATCTTTCTTCCAATTGCAATTTTAAAACATTCAGAAGCTAAAATATTATAAAGACAGGCAAGTTCTAGAAGTCAAATTATATTCAAAATGTTTGTATGAAATACCACAGAATATTGAACTTCATCTCAAAATGAGATCCTTGTGGGTCCAATAATCTGCTGCTTTATTGTGCAACTTTATCTTGGTATGTGAAAAGAATTGAAGGCAAATTTCCTATAAAATTTTTCATTCTCTCACAACTACTGTTTAAACCAAAACTTTATTACTTGGTTTATTTATTCTTTGTTTAACTCTGCATCAAAATCAATAATAAAGTAGCATTTCTGCAATTTCCTGAAGAGCCTTTTATGCTCAAGAAAAGTGAGCATGGGGCTGAGTGGGCTCTGACTGAAAATGAATGATTTGCTTTGCTTGTGTATACATTAATTTATTTACTAAAGAGCATAAAAAGAAACAAAAATTACTACCACTTGGAAATAAACTTGTCACCATCATTTTCCTAAGAAAGTATAACTTGGAACTAAGATCCACATGATAAAAAACGGCACTGATGGGAGAGTTCATCCAGGTAAGGGGTGACCTGCTCCTGGTGATTCATTAATCTGTATGAGAAAGGCCAGCACAAGAGCATGGAAGGGGAGTAAATAAAGGTAATTTCTTTCATTCCTTGTCTATAGGGTTTAGCTAGGGCAGACAGATGCTGCCCTCAGTCATCTGTATTTTGTGATTTTGGGCAAACCCTTGGTAGTGATTAAGGACAGGTTTTGAAGCATGCAAACACATAGACTCTGCTTCACAGCTGTGAACCACACTCAGAAGTCTCATCTGCATCATCAGCTTCTTCAGTGCTTGTTTCCATTTCTATTCTGAAGGCTGGACCAGCAGTTTCCAATGCATAGTCACTTCTTCTCAAATCTACGGCAAGAAAACAAATTCAATAACGCAGACAAGTAAATGTTCAAAAAGCACAACCAGTTCAAGCAGTGTTCAACCCAATAACTCATAGCAGTTTGTTTGATGTTTTCAGCAGGAAGAAAATCTGAAGCAAGGCAAATAAGAACCAGGGGGTTGAGAGTTCTGAGAAACTCAGTGGTGTGAGCCTGTATGAATGAACCTTCCCTGACTATATTCATTCAGCTGATTTTCCCCTCTATTATCTCCAGCTGCCACAGACAAAAATCAAGCCAATAACATTGCAGTTTCTGTTTCAAATCAAACAGCAATTTTTACTCCATGTAGGCAATGAAGGAAAGGAGCTTCCTCTACAAAAAAAAAAAAATGGTGGCTGAAAAGTCATCTAAAAAGCAATCTACTTTGGCTTTCAGTCTTTAAAATCTGCCACATGTCAAACAGAAGCACATTCTACCAAATACAATGTGAACAAAAGCAATCCAACTAAGCATAAGTAGGGGCTGCAGCAGGGCAAGAAAATTTCCAGTGAGTTTTTCCCCAGCCAATGCATTGCAAATTTTATATTTTTACTCTTTTCTTATTCTAAAAATTATTGCAGATATTATATGTAGTGATGACCCTGGAAAAATAGGCTCCCATTTAGCAAAGAAAGTGAAAAAATTCAATGGGAAGAAGCTTTCATGCTGAATGCCATTAGGTTGATGAGCTCCCACTCTCACATGGATGTTAGGCAAAAAAGCAGTATTCTCATATCTGCCTCTGCACAGGAAGACTATGCCTACCAGAGTCTTTCAGCTCAATAGAATTTCACTTCTTGTCTTTATAGCACGTGGAGGCCCTTGGTTGCACTTGTGAAGTTACACATAGATTAAACATTAATCTTTGCATACCTGGAAGTTTCAGCTTTCTGCAGCAAGAATTACAATGATGCTTTGCAATGAAGTTTCTTATTGCATCTTCTCCTAGGTTTGCTGGTCCAAATACCATCTTTCCAGACCTGAAAGAAATATTCTTAAAGCATCAGTGAATCTAAAATGAAGCAATTATAAGGGACAGAGATGATGCCATTTTTAATTTTTCATCAAGACAACCAAAAGTTAATACATATTCCAAGTTCCTTCAATATGAGACAAGAAAACTGTCAGTTCCAGTAAAATATTAGCCTACATATATCCCACACTACTTTTCCTCTAAAGACAGAGACAACAGACCCTTCAGTCTCTATTAAAAAGTTCAAAGGAAATCTGGGCACAGTGACATTTTGATGACATTTGCCATAATCTGTGTGATTCTGCTGCAGCCACCACTCATTCCCAAGCAAGTAGTCTGGTTCCAGTTTTGATGGTGGGCATGTGAGAACAAAACAGAGCTAACAAGGACTTGTTTTCTCTTCAATTAAAACCAGAAAAGCAAAGTCTAGCAGAACCCTAGCCACAAAAACATGCAGCACAGAAAAAAATGAAAAAAAAAATTAAAACCCCAAAACCCACAGTATGCTACTGACAAGCAAGGTTTTAAAATTTATTGTCTTCATCCTGTGCTCATTTCCATGTGCCTGTTCTCTGAGCAATTCATCAATGCTAATAGGGGATCCATTTGTAGAAGTACATTGCATATTCTGAAAGAAACTTCCACAATTACAAATAGAAACCACCTATATCCACACCTGTATTAGAAGTACCACACAGTTACCACAGATTCTTAAGGTAGTCTAAAAGCTATCCTATATTTTAGTATAGCTGCACCTTTACTTTCAAGAATTTGACAGTCTAGACACTATGGAACACAGCACACAAGAAACACTTCCAAAGAAACTTTACAAATGCTAGTGTTTTATTTTAATGATATGCAGAGTGGAAACAGCACATTTCCAAATCTGAAATCAATTACAGCTCTGAAAAGCTTTGGAAAAATATTTTAATTCTATCAAATGTATCTGTAATTCACACTGACAAAACTATATTCTCTCTAAGGAAAGTAGTGTTCAAACATGAAACTTTTCCCTTTCACACCAGACAGCAGCAATGATTAGCCAAAACTACTATACAAAATATAGTATCTTTCTAATTTCTTTCAGTCCCTAGAGAATATGTGTCTCCTGGATCCTGTGAAGGATTCATCTAATCATCTTCTAATGCAAATTAATACATCAAACAAGGGAAGAAGTGAATTATCATTCAAGGGCCATATTTAAATAACTTTAAATAACATGATGCAATATAGCCATTTTTATCCTTTTTTGAAATCTGATGAAATGCCATAGAAATAGAAGTGCCATAGAAATAGAAATAGAAATAGAAATAATAGAAATAGAATGTACCTAAGTATTTGCTTGAGCAGGTACAGGAAATTAGGAAGACTTTGCTAATTTCAAGGCCACACAACCACTCTGATACTTCCTCTAATATAACCATTACCCTGAGCAAGTGGAAGCAAGTAAGACAGAATGCTATCTTCTCACACTGTTTTGAGGTAAAAAGGTATATTCTTTGTAATATATATGAAGTAACCTTCCTCTCAGGATTGACAATGGTTCATAAGGAATACTGCATTTAAATTTCAAAAACTATTTCAAGGATATTGGATATTATCATGAGCCTAGAAACTACAACATGTAAAGATTATGGGGTAGTTTAACATGAAAAAGAAAAGACTGAAGGAGAAGAATGTTGAATTTTTTTTCTCTGTGTTGTCAATAGGTAGCACCAGAAAGAAACATTTCAATTAAAAAACAACAACAAAAAAAAAACCAAAACAACAAACAAACAAACAAACCAAAAACCAGGAAAAATCATTCAGGCAGTGATAACAACAAACTATTGGAAACAGATATTCTGTGAATGTATCAGTTCTTTTCAGTCTGAAATTGAGAACACTCTTTTCCTTGCCTCTGAATGTGGACCTAATATTCCTGAATACTTTACCCTTATTAATTTTGTTTTGGCCTTGCCAAGTAGTATACATTACAAAAAGCACCCAGAGTATTGCTTTTGAGACAATTTTTCTCAATGTTTGGGCAGGACAGAAGTCTGCAAGGACTGTGTTAAACCCTGCTTCTATGCCTCAATTACATCTGTTTTAAAGGATTCTTGTGAATGTCACACCTGCACCATTTTATCACTTCATACATTCCATGCAGTGCTCGTGGCCAGATCTTACACTGCTTGCATCAGCTCAGGATCTGTCTGAGCTGTCACAACATTAGGCATACTTTCCAAACAGATCTATTATATTTGTCTTGATCTGGATATGAAATCAAGACATAAGGCACTATCATGGATCTGGAGGCCACACTTTGCCATTGCAAAATCCTGTCCAGAACACGATGTGGGATGCATGAAATAAAAGACTTACATGACACATGATGGGATAATGACATGAGCAAATAAATTGATGGAGTTAAAAGAGCAAAACATAAATAATTTGACTGTAAGTAAAGCCCCATAAGTCAGGTGCCATCTATTTTCTCCTAGGTTTTCAAGAGAACATGAGCTCAAAGTGTGTTTTGAGACAGGTTTTGATTTTATCTAAGTATCTTACTTACAAAAGAAAACTTAAAACACATCTTGCCTCTGTCAGAAATGTTTCTCCTGTGAACAAATGAAGGTTAGAGCAAAGACAGTGCTTTTGTATTGTAATTCTTATTACTCTTTCAGAAGGTATTTCTTAGAATGTGGTATCTGCTTACAGAAAACACCACAGTTTCACTGCCTTATTCCTTTAGAATCCTAAATCAAACAATATAGTTTCACTAATTGCTGTTCTGAAGTATTCCCTGAATATAAGAAAATCAAGCTGGGTTTGATTAATTAATCAACACTTGCTCTCTACCTAGGACTAACTATTTTGCTGATGATAAACAACAAAAAGTTCTAAAAATAAGATCTGTATGATCAGATTTTATTAATCAATGTAATAAAATTAGTTAATAGCAAAGACAATAGAGAAGAACATTAATAAAAATAAACCTCATGGTATAATGTAGATAACTATTATCTTTATTTTAAAGAGGATAAGCTGACTTGTCTTGTGAACTACTTTGGTCAGTGCCTCTACTATTTACAACAATAACTGTTTACTGTTTATGTGACCACTGATATAAAAAATCTATTTGAACAGTAGCAAATCAGAATTTCATACATCTGTACCTTGAAAGTATTTGCTAAAATCTGGAGAATAACTACATGATTGACCTCTCTTCATCTCTAACTTGAGCTATCTATGTGCTTCTGTCATGAACCTATGGCCTACTTAGGGCAAAGACTTTGTCACTGAGAAGTGCTCAGCATATCTTTGCTCTCTCAGCATATCTTTGTTGTTTAAAAAAAAAAAATTATATGTACAATACACCTACAGTCATAATTAAGCATTAAGATGATTGTTTATTACTTACCTTTTTGAAATATTAATTATGGTCCCAGAACTAAGAACTTGCTTACAAAATTAACTTAGATTTCCAAGTTGTAGGCAAGTCATCTGACATTTCTATAGTTAGTTGCCCTTTTTATTAAATTAGATTGTTTACGTTTGCTTCTTCCTACCTTCTAAACATGAGACTTCCTTTCAATCAAATGGCATGAGCTGAGCAAGGGGCTGTCAAGATCAGACAGGGGAGGGGCAGGGATGTCAGGGCAGATCAGGACAGGAGTGTGGGTTTAGGAAGAGCAGAGCTGTAGGAGAGTGTTGCTATCATGCTGGCATGGTAGCATGGAGGAAGGTTTTAGAAAGGCCTTGGGAATGGTAAACTGAGGAAAAGGATACATTCATGTATGCCCCATTGTTTTAGAAAGGCTTTGGGAATGAGAAACTGAGGTAAAAGATACATTTATGTATGCTCCATTGTTTCAGGAAAGTCCCGCTTCAGCATTCCTCTGTAAACCCCCTTCTCCCCACCCCTGAGCAGTTCCCATTGGACCTGGCCCCTGGGGTGGTTCTGATGTGCCTAAGCTGGACACTGTCTCTATTGTTTAGACCTTATCTCTTAGTTTTGCTGTATAAAACTGTATCTGGGCAGTGGCCTGGGGCCTTTGGTCACTGCTACAGTTCAGGCAATACAACCTCTCTGGACAAGCATACCACTGGTCTCTCTTGGTCTCTTTATCTCGAATCCTAGCGGCGACCGAGGCAACGCCGCAGCTTGGACCATGCTAACCCAGCCCTGCCTGGTGAGCCCAGGGCAGCGGGACCGCGGAAAACCCCGGCCCCGAGAGGGGACAGCTAGCCGGAGGGTCCCGGGGGGCCGGGGAGGGACGGGGGACAGCAGCGAGTGACCCCCGAAAGCCGCAGGAGAGCAGCCATCAGCACCACTGCTTCTGCTCTTACTACAGGAAATACCGTTCAAGAGCAAGGTCACAGAATGGGAGAACAGCCATAGTTCTGATTCTGAAATTTGATTCACAAAGGCAGACTACTACTTCTGTGCATCTACTCTATCCAGTTTTTGTTAAGTTTCCACTCATGATTAGTGTGGGAGATGGGGTTGGAGACAGTACAACTGAGATACCTTGGGAGAACTCCCTTGTTAACACAGGGAGAGAAAGTGTTACAACTACCCAGAACCCTTTGCCCCCAAATGTAAATGCACACCTCTCTATCAACCAGAGTCTATTCCCTTGTTCTGGAAAGATCTGTACTCCCAGCCTCCCCATTGGTTTTCCCTTCACAGCCTTTCCTCCCTGTTCCCTATTGGTTAATTGCATATCACCCATCACTGCTCCTCCCCTGCTCCGCACCCCCATTCGTCTGATTGTACCCTGTCCCCTCCTACCCTTCCTCAAGTGATTACCCTAGACCCACCCTTGCTCAGGGCCCTTCACACCTGGCTCCTTCCAACAGAGGTTGTTCTCCTGCCCTGTCAGCCCTGCCTGCTACACCCCCTGCCTTCCTACCTCCCTCAACTGCTCCTGGATGCTCACCTCTACCTTCAATAAACCCTTCTCGATTACTACACAAGAGTGCTCTCATCTTTCCTGGTGGAGCTGAAATTACTACATCCGGGCTCAGGCATCTGGTTGGCTGGGGGAGTTGGCAATGTAGTCTGAAGCAGAGACGCTTTTGGGTCAGCGGCACCCTGACAGAACCTGCCCAGGGGCACAGTTTACCATCTTCATATCACAGGTCTGAAATCATGCTGCATGCTTAAGTGCAGCAGTAAAACCTATTGGAGAGGTTAAAGAGCCAGGCCCTCTCTTCATCCTCTTAAGCCATTGTGGCCCTGTGTACTCCTAGAAAAAGTCAGGGGAAACTGGACTGCCACATTCATATCTTTTGTAAAACTCTGTGAAGAGATTGCTCCCAGCACAACAGCACAGACTCTCCCACCTTTCATACACCTCTGACCACATGTTGAGAGCTGGGACACATTGTGTCTTCTCCCGTGCTTTGGAGGACTCTGTCTCTCCATTGGCATCACACTATCATTTAACCCAAATACCATGTGAAATAAAAAGTTTAAACCTCCCCCACAATATATAGAAAACCATCCTAAATATACAGACTGTTGGCAGAATATCTGTAGTGAATGATAATTTCAACAGAAAGAAACCTACTTTTTGTCTTCAGGTTTAATCACAGATGGATCTGTAAGGTTTTCTCCAACACCTACAACAAATAAACATTGTGTGTGTTACAAAGGAAGGTAGTCATGATTTTATACCCTGGCACTTAACAAAAGATGTAATTAACCATTGTCTTGGTACATCATAGTGTCATAGTTAAAGTGGTCATGAACTAGAATGAAAATGCTATGACTATAAAAATGTGTAAAGTACTTGTAATTACAGTTACAGTTCTTATTACAGTTCTGTCTTCAGCTGCTTTGAGGTCAATTTATATGTAGACGGAAAGTGTATGAAAATGCTATAAATATTATATTGAAGCTCAACTAACTAAAATGTGACCAACCAAAATATTCTTATTTTACTTGGAGTAAAGGTTCTAATCACATATGGATTTTACCAGTATCAATAGAGCTACTTTCAGATACACATTCTCTTCAAGGTGACAAACACAAGAAGCCAGAACTTCATGATTTGCAAATATTTGCATCTGTTATCCCTTTCTCCATTTGGGTGGCCAAGGAAGCATATTAAAGAAATACCTGAATGCTGATACCTATGTTGCAGTTTTCACCAAACTGATTAAGTATACTACCTTTATGAAAGCAATCTTTTCTTGAATCTGACAAAATCACTGAGTTTTTACACTAATGAAAAATCTATGGTCATATAACCATGTGAAATGCAATTACTTTTATTTCAACATGGCAAATTTATGTTCTGCAACAAAAATAAAAATTCTGGAGACAGCATAATGTGGCTGAAATACCCCCAGAGAGAAATCAGGACATTTCAGTTGATGTAAATTAGGCAACATGTGAGTAGACATATATGTGTATGTGGAGATGCTCATGGTATTAAATAGTAAACTGTTATCTAGATTCATCCTTGTAGAACTCCAAGAAGAGCAGCCCTTGCACTTTTCCTCAGTTCCAGATTTAGAGAACTTAACATGAGGCAAAAACTAGAGCTGATATCAGCTCATTTAAGATGAAAACCAAAATTTATATAGATGTTTAAATTCTACATTGTTAAGCCCACAGAGTTGCTCTGGAACTGTGAGAGTTATATAATAAACCTGAGTAAATTTCATACAAATTCTCATAGGCTATGGCAGAGACACACTTATTCTTTCTGTATCATTTCTTTTTTTTTATTTACAGCTACAGCAAATCAAGGCAAGGATGGAATTATAGGATTATTTTGCATAATAAGTAGGTCTTTTTTGTAACTTAAAGCTTCTGGATGCTGTGATATATAAATATGTTAAGTATCTGGCTATCCATAGACTTTTCCCTTGACAGAAATGAAAAGTGATAGTGTTTATACTGTTTGATGGGTGATGTTCCTCTGAACGTTGTCAACTGCTTTATCTCCTCAAAATATGCCATCTTCCCACTTACATATGTACAATAAAATGATCACATGCTCTTTGAAGGAGTCACTAGAAGGAAGTCAATAGAATTGTGAATAGCATTCAGGTTTACAGTTTACAGCTTTTTTATTGTTCATTAATATGAACAATAAAAAAATGCAGATAGTTCACCCATTTTGACATTAACATATCATTGTGTGCATAGATACATGAGGACATTTGAATCTCTGTATTATTTATGCATCTCATGAAAAATAAAAATACCATTATGGAGTGGCTTTTTTGGAGCTAGATGAAATATTCCTGCAGTTTATCTAACTGCTCTTTTGGTCTTTCAGCCTGGAGGCATTTGAAGCAATATTATTTTCCCATTACACCTACATTAACCTAGACAGTTTCTGCGGATTCTCATTTATCGGCATCACATAAGAGATATCCAGAAGTTTTTTGAACTTTGCATTTTCTCATCTAAGGGAGAATTTGGTCCTCAGTAGTGGTATTTGATATTATTACTTTTCATTTGGTTTCAAATAGCAGTCCTATGCTAGCAGTCACCTTGCATATCCAGGACCAGGAGTTCCCCACGGGTGTAGACATAGGTCCAGTGAGAGAAGGCCAGCATCAGCTCTTCCAGCAAGCTGATGGGAGTAATCTCATCTCCGTTGTTGTTGTTGTATTTCCGAAATTCACCAGTCATGTACTTCTCAATGGTCAACCACTGCTTTGCTGAGTGGCAGTAGATGAGGAAAACTTCCAGGAACCTGTAAATATAAATACTGTCTGTCAGCAGCTGACAAGGTAACAAGCATCCTCACAGTCAGCAGCCATCAAGATGCAGCACAAGCATACCAAAAAGGAGGACATGTCCTCTTTGGCTAGAGCATTTTCAACAGTAGGTAGGTACAAACAATAGAGAGTACAAAAGCTTTCTTGGTCTGACAACTCTCAAAAGAAAAGCGCCTTATCAGAAGGTAAAGCTTATGAACAAAAAACATAATCTGATTTACCCTAGTGCACTGTAAATGAGCTACATCAAATTGTTTTAGTTAATTATGTAAAAGGCAGTTCTTGCTTAAGTCTACGGAACAAAATGTTTATTCTTCCACTGCATGTAATTATAAAGACAAGGTTCAAAGCCGCCTACCTTTCCTCCTAAAAGTTCATTCTTAGACATTATCATTACCACTGCATTATCATTGCAACCCACAACAGAAAAGGAGGCTGAAAAGAGAAACTTCTTTCACCTGGTACCTAAAGACATTTGATTTACCTTGGAGTATAGGGAATAGTATGAGGCTTCACTTGGTTGAAGGTATAGATTAACTTCTGGGCAACCCTTTGCTGTTGAATCTCCTGAAAAAAAAAAGATAACGTTATAAACACCACTTCATTTTGATGAAGAACAGTGTCATAAATTTGTCAAAAAAACTAAACAAACACACACACACACACAGCCTGATTATCTATTTTTTACAAATGGGATATGCAACTTCCTCAAAACCTTTTTTCTTTCCAAAAGATAGCATCAAAACATATGTCAACCTTGTTGAAGACATTAACAAGTAAGCAGTCTAGGCCAGTCAGTGTTCCTTCTGGTCTGAACTCACCCTCAGACAGAGATGTAATACAGTGCCATGGTGAAAGATCTTTTGCCAAGCTTGAACCACCTCTGGCAGGAAAGACTTCACAATAAATACTTGTCCCAGCTTTAATGCATCACTCTCAGACCAAGTGCAAATGACCTTCATGGCCCTCCGCAGACCCCCATCCATCTCCTCCCGTGACAGGACCTGGATCATTGCAGTTGTGCCGCACTGGGACCAGGAAGACATGCTTTTATCAAGATTCATAGGTGAGGTCTCTTCTAGCTGATAGACTGTCACTTCTTCTCCAGCTTAAATAAAAATAAGTGTAGCATGCTAGCAAAAGTCATTGGCAGAAACATGAGATAACAACATTTTCTTTGGTGTCTTTAAATAACATACCTCTTTACACACCTTTCTAAGCCACACATCTTTAAAAAGAGAGCCTTTTATCATAATTGTTCATCTGTCTGAAAACTTCTCCAGCCTAAACTTACACTATTTAGTACATTCATTCTTGTACTATGATAAGAGGCGGCCCAAAGAGCTTATATTATGCCTCCAAGCAAAGATAAATTCAAGACCACCTGGATTCTTCCACACAAACAAAACTCACTGATATTCTAGTCTATAGCAGTCATTTAAAAGGACTTATTTTTAAAAGGTCACCATTTTTATCTCCAGTGTATATGCTCTAAATATCCCATGTGTAATTCCCTCTCTTTATGTACTTATGTGGAAGGGGAATTTTTAGTAAGACTTCCATCAATCAAAATCTGTGGAACACTCCCTGAATTTTTTTTTATAATTTTGTGTTTCATAAAGGAAACCCCAAAAAGCAACAAACACCCAAACAAACCTGCAGGACCAGAACATCTGAATTCAAACCTTAGTCTAAAAACAGGTAAAATAACAGTTTAAAATAATTGTTAAAAATAAATCTGGGGGAAAATCATGACAACAAGGCAAACAGTTTGTAATACTTATTCAGTATTAAAGATTAACAGGATTTAATTTTGTAGTTGATACAATATTGGCTGTAGTCAAAAGTGCCACCTTGTGCCACCGACAGCTGAGTTTGTTTCAAAAGTTGTGACTTGGCCATGATATGATGAGTCAGGGAAATTAGATTTAAAAAGATATTTCCAGGAGAACAAGCTAAAGCAAATTATCAGGAAATATACAGTTTTGGTATTTTAAACTAATATTTTGATTTCTTTTTCCTAGAAATTACAGTGTTATATGCAATGATGGAATGTTTAATGTGTTCTGCTCCTGCTAGTAACATTTTTTCTGCAAGTAGAACCTTTTTAAGTCAGTTGTGCACTGCTTTAAGTCAGCTGTGCACTTTTTCCCCCTGGAGATTTGCAGTGGTGTTCCTCTCTTGCAGCAGAATAAACAGAATAAACAGCACTTTTCTGTTCCCACCATTTGTAAACTAAAAGCAAAATGGACTGATTTTTTTTAAATCTGTCTTTGTTTCCTACAACTCACATTATTTGTAAGATTAATTAATAAGAAACAGGTTTTTGCTGGCAAGTGTGACAAGGTAACTAAACTGCCAAAATGGCAGACCATCAAAAGCAATTACAAACTGGATTCCAACTTCAGTAGATTTCTTCCCCACTCTTGAGCTTGCTTTTCACCAATTAGCACAAATGTGGATGCTGTTGAATCCAGCAATTTAAGTGCATTTTAATTTAAAATAAAGCGACTGGAAAAGTCAGTATCTTACATAAAAGACAGACACTTGAATAAAGACAGTATAACTAGACACATTTTTTAATCTTATATTAAATCTTAATTTTATTATCTTTTGACAGTTTAATACCTAGAAAGGTATCTCCTAGGAGCTTCAAAGATTAGAATACTTAATATGGCCATGGCTATTTTAATTATCTACAGTAATAAGGTCACAACAAAACCTATGATGCTGCAAGTATCAGCAATTAGTTGCTGTGAGACAAAATATTGTACCCATTGAGAAGGCACCACCTAGATATCAGGAGTCTAGAGGCAGACCTTCTGCTGCTGTAAGCCAATACTGCACACTATTTTCAGAACTCTTCAGAAAAAATTATGGATTATGCTCTACCACTCTTCAGTTACAGCAAAGATTTTTTTTACTTGACAATAAGGATACTAAAGGTTTCCTGTGCCAGATAAAAGGATAATGCCTTATAATTCACTACCTGGTTTTCTTATTGATGGCATATCCTATACATAGACTTACATATGTAACTATGTTTGTGTCAGTGTGTGTGAAAGAGAAAGAGAAAGAGAAAGAATAAAGTTATCAAGGTTAAGGGGAATCTTCTGGCTGTCTTCAGCTATCCTGAGGATGAATACATAAAAGATGGAGTTATGCTCCTCTCTGAGGTTGACAGCAATCACATGAATACTAACAGATACAAGTTATAGCAAGGGAAACCTCAACAAATACAGGCAGAAACCCTGGATTCATTATTAGTCAATCAAACAATAGAAGAGTTGCCCAATAAAAATGAGGAGTCTCTATTTATAGACACAATCAAAATGCAATTCAACAGTGGCTCAGCAATCTGATTGAATTGACCCATGGAAGGAGTTGGACAAGATGACCTCCAGAAATCCCTAAACTACTGCACAAATACAATTCTATCCTATTTTGTCTCTTTCAGAAAATAGTAACTGTTGAAATAAATCCAAGACAATTTCTCAAACACGGTTTTAAAGAGATCTATTAATTTAAAAGATCATCGACTATTTATAAAGTAAAACAGAAGCAAGAAGCTGATACTCACCAAGGAGCTGGACTGGTGTAAATGGTATGGTCTGAGCAAGTCTCATTAAGTTGTTTCTTTCAACAGCTGCAAACAACATAGATTTCACAGCTAGACTGAATAAACAAACTGGCTACATTTCAAAGATGCTTGGCTGTGCATTACTGAAATGAACAAAGCCAAGGAGGAAGCAGCAGTGTCACATCTGATCCCCATTTGTTTTACCCAGAACACAACTCTGCTTTGCACACTATTGTATTTCAGGAATGATATTCCCCAGCTTGGTGTTCCCACTCAAACATGTCAAACCATGCACCTTCTCTCACTCCTCCTCCTCCCCCTGTCCCTCTGTTGGAGCTGGAGAGGGAACTGGAGGCACAAAAGGTAAACATCATGGGCTGAGATAAGAGCAGTATGCTGGAAACAGCAGCGAGGTAAGGAAATGAAAAGCAACAACAAAATGATGGCAGGGGGCACAAAAAATGAACAATTCACATGGAAAACCCCTGACAAGAGAAAAGACAACACTACCTTGATCCAGAAGGGACCCCTCCTCCCCAGAAGAGATTCCCTTTCCCCCAAGCCTTGGCAATGACCTGACAGTGGTAGAGAACAACCTCTGGGTCCTAGCCAGGCCCCTGCTTGGCTTCTGCAAGTAATTGACCCTGTCCTAGCCAAAGACAGGACAGAAAGATACCCGAAACTCAGTTAGCATTAAAGCTTTGCATCTGGAATAATAACTCAAATTCCAAATTCAATCACTACTCTCACGCAGGCTTCAACAGGCTTCAGTCTCTTCTACAGGATTAACTTCAGTGTAATTTATAGTGACAGCTGACAGTCCAGGTCTCCTTTAGACATTTCAGAAGTTAATTTACCCTAGGAAATGGAGATAAATTCTTCACTTTTCCTCTTTTAAGAAACCAAACATCCTTCAACAACCCAAATGCAGCTGCCTCAGCCCTCAGCTGTACTACTTGTCCATTTAGGGGCAGGTTAGATGTAAATATCTGCAAGACTCTGGAGATGTGCATTCTAAAAGAGAGAGTTTTCACTGGAGATGAGTGAGAACTAACTGGTGACAAAAAAAAAACCAGATTTTTAAAAAACAACCAATTAATAAATCAACCGAAACCAAACCCCAAAACAATCATAAGGAAATGCAGGAAGTGAGCTGCTTTAGTAAGGTAATTCTTGATACCCAGAAACCATGAAATTAGGTCTGCACTCCATTTTTCAACCCAGGCATATTAGGTTTAGTTGATTCAATGCTCTGCCAAAGCAAACTGGAGAAGGAAGTCTCTTACATTCTTGGGGAACAAATAATGAAACTATTTTAGTCAGAGGAGAATTAAAGAGTTGTAGCAGACTGGCATGGCAGAAAATACTTCAGTTCTATTCTCAAATGCATGATGATGGTTAGCTAAAAGTCAGAAAGCACTTGGGATAACCAGAAGTTCCCAAATTTTTGTCAAGATAACACACATTAGCTAATCTCTATTACCTACACCTTTTCCTTAGTTGAGACAAATAGTAGGATTTTTTCCCAACTACATACATATATATAGATAGAAATGTGCATGTACATAAGCACTAGTATCCTGTCCATAATCAGTGACCATCCCTCCAAGATATCTGTAGAGTTCACTGAGTCCATGGCTGTGGGTTCTCTGTCCTAGATGCCTTCCAGGCAGGAGGGCTGGTGTGCTGTCAGGTGGTTGCAAGCTGCATCATGAGCTCATGACCAGTGTGTCTGGAGCAGCCCATACTCACTGTCCATGGCAGCTCTGGCACACAATGCCAGTGTCATTCAGCAACCAACAATACACACACAGTTCAACACTACAGACTGTTCTCATGAAAAAATTGAATCCGATTCAGGTACACTTTGTGTTTCCCCATCCATCTGCATTTCTCCGCAGGAGCAATCAGGTCATCGAGCAAAAACAATCCCATGGGTAGTTTTGCCTTTGTTTAAAACAGGATTAATCCCAACTGACTTCTGCAGTACATGAAGCTTTTGATTGAGATCAATTGCTGGAGCCTCTAGTGTTAACTAAGCAGGAGGTTTTGCTAAATGTAGATCCCAATATTTGAAGGTCCCACCAATGTGGTTTTTAGCAATCCATTTTATTGTTCAACATTCCTAGAGGTTGGTGCATGACAGGAAACATGATACCCACTTCAATACTGTGCTCTCTCACCTAGGGTTCTATGAAGCTATTTTTGAAATGAGTCTACTGTCTGACTGACCTCTTTCAGGGGTGCCAAGACAGTGTTCTGGGCAGTGGGGTGAGGCACGGGGTGCATCTCCGACATCCAGTGTTTTATTCATTGTATGTACATAGAGCTTGCCTTGGCACATTTGCAATACAATTGATCTGCCAGGCCTTTCCATACTTACATTTTAATCATCATCCCCCATACCAGAGTCTTTACCCTCTTTTCATTTCAGCACATTTCAGAGTTATAAATAATGTCCATGGTTAATAGTGTCCATGTTTAAGTCTACCCCTCTCTCACGAGCCCATCTGTATGTTGTGTCTGTTCCCTGATGACCTAAGGTATCATGGGCCCAATGAGCCAGAAATAATTCACCCTTATACTGCCAGCACAGATCCACCCAAGACACTTGAATCTCAACAGCCCAATCCACCTGTCCCTTGTTGGGACATTCTTCAGCAGCCCAGCTCTTGGGTGTGTGCATCTACACAATTTGCTCTGTGCTCTTACAGCCAGCTTCCCTACATAGGCAGCGGTGTTTTTCCAGAACTCAGCAGCCCACATGGGTTTACCTCTGCACTGTCTTAACTTTTTCACTGCTCAAGCCATATCTACAGAGCATTTACTGTCATGCACAAGTCAGTGTAGAGGTAGAGCAGTGGCCATTTCTCTCATTCAGTGATATCTAAAGCCAGCTGGATGGCTTTCAGCTCTGCAACCTGACTTGATGCACCTTTTCCCTCCATAGATTCTGTGACTTGCCATGGAGGAGCCCAATAGAGCAGCTTCCCATTTTTGATGTGTTCCTCCATTACAGCAGGAAGCATCAGTGAAGTGAGTATATCACTTTTCATTTTCTGGTAACTCATTATATGCTGGGACCTCCTCAGCACAAGTCACCTTTCCCTCCTCTGCTTCCAATGATACTCCAAAATGTTCATCTTTGAGCTAATTTGTGGTGACTTCCAAGATCCCTGGGTGATTGGAATTTCCTATTGAAGCTTGTTGTGTGATCAGATACTTACTCCATCAGTGGCATGATGTGTGGCAGGCAATTTCCCTTTGAACATCCTGCCCAGCCCTGGCAGTCACAATGCCAGGAGGAGCTGTGGTTTGGTGTCCATCACTTTGGAAGTAGCTCAAACCCCTTCATAAGCTGCCAGGATCTCTGTCAGTTGAAGTGTAGCAGGCCTTGAGTCCTTTGTATTCCTGATCCACAGGGATCATCCTCAAACCTCCATGGATATGTTTTGTCAGAGACTCTAGGAAGGACCATTCTCCCCATCTGCAGTGTAGAGCATAGTTTTCACATCTTTTCCAGTCCTAACTAGGCCAGGGGCTACTGCTACAAATTAATATCCTGCTTCATTTGTTCAAAACTTGTCATTGTTCAGGATCCCATTTAAAATCATTCTTGTTCTGAGTCACAAAATAGAATTCACAATTTGACTCTAATCTGGATTATCCATTTGCCAAAAACTCACACTATGTAGGACAGCCTGTATGTCCTTGTTGCTGGTTGATGGGGACATAGCTGCTACTTTGCTGACTATGTCCTCTTTGGAATCTGACAATGTCCATCCTGCCATTTAAATTCTGAAAACTGAATTTCTGGTGCAGGTCTCTAAACCTTACTTTGATTTATTGCAGGACTGGCCTTCAGGATGATTTGGACTATCTTCTCCCCTTTCTGAAAAGCTTCTTCTGCTGTGTTATCTCACAAGCTGATGTCATTTATGTATTGCAAATGTTCTGGAACCTCTCCCTTTTCCAGAGTAGTCTGGATCAGTCCAATGGAAATACTCTGGCTGTATTTTCACCTCTTAAGCAGCTGGTTCCAGGTGTACAGACGTCCCTCCAAGTGAAAGCAAACTGTGGCCTGAACTCTGCTGATAAAGGAATAGGGAAAAACACATTTGCAATATTGATGGTGGCACCACTCTGCTGCCTTGGACTCCAGTTCATACTGAAGTTCCAGCACACCTGGCACAGTAGCACTCAGTGGTGGTGTGACTTCTTCAGGCCACCGACAGGCCTGAAGTGGCCACTCTCCATTGGATTTACACATTGGCTATATAGGATCATAAAAGAGTGAGAAAGCCTTGTTGGCCACTGTCTGACTCTCCAGTTCATGAATTACCTCATGGATAAGGTCAAGGAGTCCTGGTTGGTATGATATTGTTGATACTGCACTGTTGTGGTAGTCATCAGTACTTGTTCTTCTTCAATCCTCAACCACCTCACAGCAGAGGGGTCCTCTGAGACACCAGACAAGGTGTTCAGTTGCCTAACTTCCTCTGTCTCTACAGCTCTCCCAAAAGCCTATTTTTTGGGTCATTGATTACCTCCCATGAGGTAATTAATTTATGCCCAGGATGCACAGGGCTTCTGGGCCAGTCACAATGGGGTGTGTTTGCCATTCATTCCCAGTCAGGGTCACTTCAGCTTTCAGGACAGTCATATGTTGTGATCCCCCTGTCACTCCAGGAGTAGAGATGGATTCTGCCCCTACATATCTTGATGGCGTCTGGGTACATCATATTCTGGGGTTAACTAAAGCCCAATACTCTTGTGAGTCTGATGAGCCAGGCCATGAGATCCCCACAATCCAATAGATCTGATTGTCCCTTTCCCCTGAAGGAGGAAGGACTTGGCTGGAAGAAGGAAACCTCTAATCCTGGTCAGAGTAGTAATTGTTCACTTCTTGTAAATACAAGCTGAATGTCCCTTCAAGTAGATTGAAAGTAATATCAGCCCTCCTATTCTGTCTAAGGATTTGCTTATTGAAAACTGGAGTGACATTTAGTAGTTGCTCTTCCTTTCAACTCAAGACTTCTAGTGCTAGGGCAGAGGTGGGTTTTCCATCCCACTTCCTCATCCGTGATCACACACACAAAAAAAAAAAAAACAACAGGTTGCCTCATGGTGTTTACCATCTCTTGAGCAGGGGGGGTACTTGCTCCCAGTAACAGAGACTCTTGTCCATACTGATAAGCAATGGAAAATTTCTTCTTTAGCTTGCTTGAAGGGTTACTTGCCAAATTCACAGATGATAAAAAAATGGAAGGAGCTGTTGATTCCTTGAATGGGAGGGAGGTCCTGCAGGCCAGTAAGGAGGAAAAAACAATGATCTTCATATTGCCAGAGCTAGGTAGTCACCATTCCCTCACACTTGACAGGAATCACCTCTGAGAGTTTCTGTCCCATCCTCAATTCCTTTGTCAATGTCCACATCCTGGGATGTGGGATCCCAATTGATTGGTTTCATTACCATATAGTTTCATATCATGGGCTGTGATATCCCAGCATCAGAGCTGCCACGTCAGGAGGGACTCTCCTCACTGGCGGCTGATAATTTTTCATATACATTGCAGCTCACCTAAGGCGTGATTTCTTCTTCTGTATAGGAGCAACTGGTACCAGCATAGGCTGTTCTGGTGATTCAGCTGCAGTTTGAGTGGCCGCAGTGCCAGTTGTTCTGCTTGCCTGTTCTTCCCCCTGAAGGTGCAGTCTAGTACTGAGAGCAGTCTGATAAATAGTAACCAGGACCCTGCACATTGCAGAACTTGGCGTTTCTCTGGAGCTGCCACAGCATTTTTCTTTCAAATATTCTTCCACTTTAACAGGGTCCTGTAGCTGTTCAGGGGTAAACTTCCAAGCCATTGGAGCAGAATGATCCTTCAAAAGCTGGCCCATTTTCTCCCACATTACAGGCCAATCATGACTATCCACCCTTGGGGTAGATCTCTGAATGACTCTCCTAAGAATCCATTTTTCTAATCAGGGTAAGACTGCACTGAAGAGACCTGGCAGATTTAGCAACAAAAGCATGATTTCCTTAATATCCAAAGGGAATTTAAAATCCTCCAAAGCTGTTGTAACAGGCCTCAAGAAAGAAAAAGGAGTGAAAAGCTGGGGGAAATAATCCTTCCTGGTTCTGCTCACAGGCTGAGTAAAATTATTACAGAAAAACAGAATCATAGAATATGCTAAAGGGACCCACCGCAGGAAGCAGACCCATAAGGATCATGAACTCCTGGCCCTCTGCTTGACAGTCACACTGTGTGCCCAAATGCTTTGTGAACTCTGTCAGGCTTGGTGCTATGACCACTTTCCTGGAGAGCTTCTTCCAGTGCCCAAACACTCCCCAGGTGTAAAACATTTTCCTGAGATCCAGCCCAAACCTGATTAACTAACCTCTGACATAGCTTCATGCTAGTTCATTGAGTCTTGTCACTGGTCACAAGAGTGAAGAGATCAGTACCTGCTCCTCTGCTTCCCTTCATGAGGATGTTGAAGATAGCAGGGAGCTCTCCCCTCAGTCTCCTCTTCTCCAGGCTGAACAGACAGCTCCTGACCTCAGCAGCTCATGACAAGGCTTCTGCTCCAGACCTCATGGCTCTATTTTGGATGCTCTGTAATAGCTTAAAGTCTGTTTCATGTTGTGGTGCCCAGAGTGCACACAGAACTTGAGGTGAGACCACACCAGTGCAGAGCAGACCTGGACCAGCTGGAAATGCTGTGCCTGCTACAGGCCAGGACACAGTTAATGGTTTCCTAAAGTCAGTGCCTGAGGTAAGGGTAGAAGACCAACACTGAATACACATCACAAATGAGGTTATCATTACACATCACTGCCCTTGAGGTTATCATTTCATAAGCTGATATCACACAGTTCAGCAACAAAGCAATCCTGATCCCTATCCCTGCTCAGAAAAGGAGCACCTCAATGGGCACATAATGCCTACACTGAAATATACAGGGTTAGGTTACAGCATTGCGACATACCTAATACAACAAATACTTGTTACCTACCCACTCTTACCAGATCTGTTGTTACCTCAGCTCTTTAAAGTTCATATTAAACACCAAATAAAGTCATTATGGTTTAGGAATAGTGTTCCCCACATCAGTGGGGAAACATTCTAGACCAAACACTGCTTACTTATTTCCCTCACTCTCCTCCCAGCTGTGCAATGGAGAGGATTGGAGAAACAACAGTTAAAGACCATGGGGTTTAGATAAGGCAAATTTACTGGAAACAGCAATGAAATAGGAAAATGAAAGTAATAGCAGCAGTATTAGAGAGTACAAGAGCGGCAAAAAATTCACACGTGAATACTCACTACATGGAAATCAGCAACAAGCGAAATTCCGCTACCCCAATATGGAAAGGACCCCTTTCTCCATCACCAGAAAATTAAGTGAATTGGTGCAGAATAACCTCCAGGACCTAGCCATGTCCCCTTCTGGCTGGATGCCAACCCGTCATATCTCACCCTGCTCGTGAATTCCCTCCAAAGAAGCAGGCTCTCTGGGGAAGCCCCTTGCACCCTGCCTAGAAGGACTTCTGCTTCTTCCTCATCCTCCTCCTTTCACAATGGGCTGCTTCTGCATCCTGCTCCTGCCAACTCCAGTACAGCAATACATACTCACACTGTGCTGAAGAGATGCCTTGACCCCAACTGCCTTCATTGTCTGTCTTGTCAGGGTTAGAAGCACCCAGAGATTTAGCAAGGTATGACAGGAAAATCAGACTTCCCCTACACAGAGTACTGTTTCTTCATTCAGGCTTCTTAACAAAAAACATCAGTAACATTATTATATCTCCCTAACTTGCAGCATATTTCTCAGGCAAACACCTTCAAAACTTCAGAGAGCCAACCAAATATTTATGGATTTATCTTCACAATGAGTGGGTTATGAAGAAGGGGAAAAGACATGCAAAATAAGGACCTAGATGTAAAATAAGGACCTCCTAGAACTAGGAGGCAACTTGGACGCTACAGTTCTGACTGTCTAATTTCCCTAGTGAATGAATGAAGGCAAAAGCATCATCCAAAGTAGAGTGAACCAAAGCAGAGAGGCAACCACAATAGAGCTGTGTTTCTTTGCAGAGTAACAAAAAAGCCATGGTAACAAACTCTGGAGCTTATGGAACTTACGAAGTTTGGACAGCAGCTATCCCCCTTTTAAGATTACCTCTTTAAACAAAATGTAATTGGAGATTATTGAGACCAGAAGGGCAGAGCAAAGGGCACCCATGACACATAGACCCCATGAACTGGGGTCCTCAATTGAGAAGATCTGCACTTCATACTCCAACTCAAGGTTGTTTACATGTACCAAATTCAATAGGAATTAGTTACAATATCTGAACAGTACTGGAGCATGGACTGAGAAACAAGACTTTCCTTTGGTCTCACACTAAGAGCACACTGATCATGAAATCAGCGCACAGCAGGAAGAAGGATGTGAACAGAGAAGCTGCTAAAATCTACGCCATCTGTCAGACCCTGCCAGCAATCTCTCTAGATCTTTGAGAAACCACGTGGCATTGACTTGCAGCAGCTGCCAAACTTGGGACAAAGGTCTAGTTCTTTTGGGTATGCAGAGGCAGGATTGTATTTGCTTGCTCAAACTGACAGCAAGAATAACACAAAAGCTAAAATGGTACAGAATTCTAATGCAGGATTTTTGGGTCTAGTTGGCTAAATTCTGTCCTAATCTTCCTGAGGAAAGAAAACCTACACTGAAAACCTCTGAAGACATTCGTCAGCTCATAAGGGAAACCACTTCTATCTGTGCTAAAAAGTCCATCATCTTAAATAGTATATCTGACAAACAACAATTCAATACCTGCAACAATGCCACCATGCCAGAGAAACTACATCTGTACAGTTGATTGCAAGCCAGGAGGTGTTATTCCAAATGAAAACTGTCTAGATTTTGAATTCAAGAAAGCTACTAACAGTTTTGGTTTATTCCAGGCCTGCCTGTACCGGAGGCCAAGTCCTGTAGGCAATGGTGACATCTACTGGCAATTTCTGCTTCCTTCGCCTGGAAAAACTGACATCCAGGCCTTGTGGGAAAATCCCTGCACGCTCAGCTGGGGGACTGCAGGAAATTAACATTCAAAGGATTTATTCCCTGCCAGATTTTCAGGAGTTCATAGATATACAAACACAGATTAAATAGCACCAATTAACTAAAGAAAATAATTGCAGAAGTACAAAGGAGGGTACGGGAGGTGTGAGGAGACAAAGGAGGGTTTGCGAGGTGAGGGGAGACAGCTATAACAAATTAGTGCCTCTTCTGCCTGCTCAGGAAGCTGACCTGTATTCATGATTTCCACTGATATTTTGAAAGTGATTATCTACATCCTGCTCTGGATTTGCCTAAATACCCAGAATGAAGCAATTATCAAGAGAAAAATAAAATTAATAATCCTTTCATTGGAGTGTTAGACATGAATTAACACAGAACCTTCTCAGCAGTGAGTGATTGTGCAAGTCCTCAAAATGGAAATCACAGTGGATGACAAAGGGACAGCTAATGTTTTTTTTTAATTTCTTAAATTCTTCATCTGTCATTCTTGTGCCTCCTGCTTACCTGAGTAGTGAAGATGCAAATCTTGAGATGTTTTCAAGCAGGAAAAGATATCTGAAATAATGTTTAAATGATTGTTGTATTAATTATTATAGCAGACAACAATGCATGATTTTTTAATTCCTTCCATCCCAGAGTTTTTCACAAAATAGATTAATCAAAATTGCTGGCTCAGCATTCTAGAGGAGAATTACTTATGGGCTTTAACTACATTATCATGTACTGTATACTGCCAAATTTCAGTTGTCAGTGTAATATAGCCAGACAACTTACTTATTCAAGGAAATGGTGGGGAAAATGAGATATTAACCTCAAGGACATGTTAAGCCAGCTAGGCTCCTGGGATATCTATCCACCATGCTTCATGGCCTCCTCAGGTATGAGTTTTCCAACTCCATCCTCAGCCATTACGCATTCCAATAACTGTACTATTGCACCAAAGTTGTAATAATACTGTCCCATTAAACTACGGCATCCAAAGTGCTATTAAAATATAGGCAGACAAACATTTTTTGTGTTCTCATATGCTCAGACAGATCAAATTTGGTCCAAAAATGTTTGCTTTACAAAAAAGCATTTTTAATACAACCAAGAAAAATGAACACATTTTCATTAATTAGATGAAATAATTTTGTTCTCCTGGAAAACCACCTTTCAAAATGCTACATTTCACTATCTATATATACTGTACTATTATTAATTTTCAAAAAATTACATAATCAAAACAATGTTCACCAAAATTTTTTTAAATTTACACTTTTCTTCTTGGTGTGTTCTATTTGCCTTTATTCCCTTATCTAGTGAAAAAGATCTTACCCGAACTTCTATAGTGTCAGAATCTGTGGTGGGATGCCCTGGACTCCCACACTATAGATAGTGGGGGAAGGGTCAGCATTTTTCACTCCCCTTAGTGATTCAAAGACCCTTGTGATTTTTTTTCTTACTGGAACCATCTACTTTTGCAGCATTTTGTATGTTGCAGAAAAATAAAACATGAAAAGATGCCTTTTGAGAATGGAAAAACTGGATTTTAATCAAAACAATGGTGTGCTCTAGAGTGCAGCTTTACAACTCAGTGTGCTTGCAGCAGACTGCTTCAGCGCTGCAAAGTTTTGTGCACAGATGGACCCTCAAAGAGCATCACTTGAAGTGGAGATAAGACTAAGAGCAATTGATTCCTGCACCATAGGTAATCTCAAAAAGAGATAGATGCCCAGCTGCTCAGCCTCTTATGGATAAGTGTCATGCCAGGAAAACTGGGAGATGGACTAAAACACAACAAATACCAGTGAAGTTCACTAACGCTCTGCTTTTGAGGAGCAAACTGATTTTAGTTTTCTCATTAAAACCTTTAATTTTTTCACTGGATAATTCATAATAAATTCAGCCCTTCATAGATTTCCAAATTCCAGGTAAACAACCCAAACTGAGTTATTGCACAAAATTGCAATTTGAAAAATCAAGCACGTTAACAATCTTGTCGCTTCAGACATACACCCTGGTTTAACCCAGGACATCACTTGGACTGTTGGGGATCAAAGCAACAGCATGTTAAAGAGTTTCTTCCTGCTGAAAGGACAACATTACTGGGCAGACTAGAGTGGAAATAAATCATTTTCTTTTAAGAGTATGCAACTGTTATGAGTAAAACATGTTTCTCATAAAAAAACTTTCACTTTAAAATAAAAAATAGTTGATAACACATGAAACAATATCTGCTCTACAATCCTTAACTACAGTAAATTAACTTATTTTTGGATTTTGTACTTCAGAACTGTCAGCATGAGAATTGCAGACGGGAATTTAAATGAGTGACAAGCAATGAAAAACTTACTGTCAGTCTCCTCTGGAGCTCTCAATCTGTTTAAAAGCAAATATTGGATATTTTAATGCAACATTTCTGTCATTGAGCTAAAACTAGTACACATGGATCACATGTAAAGATATGTGACACAGCAATCTTAAGGCAAAATAACCCTCAGTGCAATTTTGTTCAACAAAGCCATGAGCAAAAAACCTTCAGGCACTGAAGAACTGACATATTTTTCACGTTTCTTTCTCTGCTTTATGTTGAATTCTTCTTGAGTCTGCACTGCTATCACATCTTTTACATTGCAATAACAGTATCAGTTACAGAGCTTTCAATCACATACACAACTGTTAATTTTTTACTCAATGCTGATATGTATTAACAGTTACTTGTGTCATTACCATTCCTTGTACAAGAACATAGTTTTTAAATTGGTAATTCTTTAGATCAACAAGTCTGGTTGCAAAAGGCAACTACATTGAAGCAATCTTTGCTACAGAACACAGGAGATATGATTCATCTCATAGACCAGAGATCTCCCACTGAAGACAGCAGACTAAGCAATTGATTCAGGCCACTCAACAGCCCCTACATCCTGCTGGTAAGTCTGCAGTTTGCCTACTCTCTATAAATGATGGGGTGTAAAAAAATATAAAAAGAAAAAACACCCTAAAAACTCCAAAGCCACAACAACAGCAGAACACTCAACCCCCTCCCCTCCTCCTGTCCCCCACATACTGAGCATGCATAAAACCCCCAGTAACTTTTTTCCTCCTCTCTCCATGGTGAAATCACATGGGATGTGGCAGCTTTCTAGTATCTCCTATTTATTACCTGCACAGTGCTGAAAAAAAAATCTAGAAGAAATTGATGAAAGTAGGAAAGAAAAGGAAAAGGAACATAAAGACAGCACTATATGTCTAAATATACTACTAATATTATGATAATGATTAATCAATCTCGGAAAAAAATTTAAAACCTCACAAGGAAATGGAAACCACTTGTGAAACCAGTATACTTTCACTAAATGGAATCAAAGCTTAATAATGTCTGAAAAAGCATGAAGAAAACTGAGCTAAATATTTAAAAAATGTACAAAAGAGATAAATGAGTCAATGAGAGAAGTTTTCAGGAGATGCTATCATTGAAATTATTAAAAAATTAAACATGCAATTGAACAGTAAAAGCAAATACAGTTTTTCATGTTAACTAGATTGTAACAAGGTCTAATTAAAGATGCTATGGTCATAGAACCATGGAATAACTACAGAATCATAGAATCATTAAGGCTGGAAAATCATCAGGTCCAGCTGTCATCTTAGTGACTGAATTAGAAAATTCAATTACTGTTAGCATTAGAAAGGGTGTCTATTCCACCTAAAATCAAACACTTTATTTAAATGGATCTCTTTGATCCATTAGTAAGATTTTCTTTAGTAAGGAAATCTCTTTAGTAAGATTAGTACTATTTCCTTTAAATAAACTTAAATACACTGAATGGCCTTAATAATCCATGTCTCAGGAATTTGTCATCCTAAGTATATTGTAGAATTGAAATTGAAACCTACAAACTCCACAGGCATCTCTTTCTGAAAACCTGTGATGAGTATCTTAACATACTAATGATACATACGAGGAGTTCCTGTTCAGATTACTTTTCTTGGTGCTTCCAAATATGCTATTACTGAAATCCTAAAAAAAAAGAAAGATACTTTCACTGGTAAAATATGCACATCTTTATCATATACACATTGCACAGCTCAGCAAGGTACAATCTTGAGAATAACTGTTGATATTGTTTTTGTTAACATAAATAATGACCCTGACAGGTGGGTGAATCATAGCACTGCATATCTACACTAAAATGGAATTCATTTTCTAACATTGCCATTTCCCATGTTCTCTCCAGATATTCAAATTAAATACTCAGGTCACCACCTATATCTCAATACACTCACAAAGCCGGTTAAAGGTCTTCTAATAAGCACAGTATTAGAGAACTTTCTGTATATTGGAAAATTACAGTGTAGGTATAACATTTACTGTTGAAAATAAGCCCTGGAACAGAAGAACATAACACAGTGAGCAGCTTTCCAGGGATATTTAGATCACATATTTTCCACGTCTTATATTTAAAGAAATACTCAAATAATCTTTTAGACTTCAAGCCGTATTAGGAAAAAATGGGCCAGCCAGGTCCTCCTAAGGTGATAGTAAGAAATGGAATTTTTCTTCTCAATAGTATTCAGACCAATTTCAATCCTCAAAAACACACACATACATACACCAAAAAAAGAAGGAAAAAAAAGATGTTTAAGGACAGCTAAGTTTAAAGATGAATCAACTAAAATTCAACCTTTAATTTAAACTGAAACTTAAAATTTTTTTTTTTCATTTCTCTCATAATTTGAATGTGTACCTTGCTTTGAAGATGAGAAAGTCTTTAACAAAAGCTCCCTACACACACCCTTTGTTCCCTGCTTCTGTCAAGAGGGATTTCTGAACCCTTGGTATGCCATGAGTGAAAAGCTTCACTTTCAGAAAATACGTGTCTTTAAAATACATCATTCTCCAAGTGGAACAGGTGGATACATCAACTTGTTACATCTCAGTGATAAACATAAGCTTTCATAGTCCAGATAGAGGCACAACAATTCAGTGGATACTGGAGACTGTACCTTGGAAGAATAAATAATTTGAAGTTGGTGTTTCAAAAACAACTGGTTTCAGCCCAACTCCAATACAGCTATTAATCAGCATAATGGAAATTTTTACAATTTAAGAAATATCATTCTTGAGTTTTATCCAAATATATCTTAATATGAGCTATGAAACACCAAATTACTTGGTTATTTCACACAGTTTTCCTGACTTTACCTTTATTTTGCCTGGCTGATCCTGTGATTCACAATGCAAAGATTTATTGATTTAGAGTCCAGGTTTCAGTTTTACAGAACACAAAACCAGTAAATTTATTTCTATTTCTCTCTCTCTCTCATCACTTTTTCATTTTTCTCTCTCTCACCACATTTTCCCCGCCATTGTTTAAATTAGGTATTTGGGATTCAAGTTCTACAACATTCAGAACGATGTAATGGAAATTACCTGTTTCATTTCTATTCCTAAAAAAACCCAAACATGATAACATTTTCAATTAAAAATAAGCTGGTCTTTGAAAGATCTTCATTTTAATAACCAAAAGTCCTGTAAGTAAAATCAACAAGGAAGGGTGTTTGGTACTCTTGAAAAGAAAGAGGAAAGTATTCATTCACGTTTCCTTTTCATAATTTATTCTTTGTTAATTTCCTTTCATATCTCTGAGATATCCCTATAAAATTTAGTGAATGACACATTTTCTTCTATTAGCTAGTCCATTTCTTTTATTAGCTACATAATTTTAAAACAGAACATAGTTTTCACAATCCAGATTCCCGCACAAGTCTTCAGGAAATAGAAATTGGTCTAGTTCCATCAAATTCAAGGAGCCTATATTACTTCACACAAGAAGAGAAAGCTTAGATTGTAAAGCTGCAGATTAATTCTGGTAAGTAATAAAATAAACTGTTTATAAGACAATAAATAGTTTAAAAATCCATGCTTTGCAATTCTTAACAGTATTTATCTACCCATTTGCAATAAATTATTATGTGATAAAGTAAGTGCTATGTAGATAACTCTCCAAAATTTTCTTCTAATCCATTCTGCCCACAAGTTCAAGACCAAGTTGTGTGCTCACTCATAGTCTGATCAAATATCAACACATGTCATTTGTGACTAAGCTCATATTCAGAACCACTTGAATATTCAATAATTTAATGTCCTATTTCAATAATCTTAGCAGCTGTTAAATTATTCATTTACTTCCATATGTACACTGTGCCAGCAGAAAACACAGTCTCTCATCTCTCAGAGAGGTATCTCATGACAAAGAAACTCTATTGGCAAATCTAGGGATGACTGTAGAGATACTCTGGGCTCATCCCAGCCAAAATTACGGACTAGGATGTGTAATCCTAGGTCTTACCTCTTGAGAATGCCTCAGGTAATCACAGAATGGTATGGTATGCCTACCAAAGTCTGGATTTTTAATTTTCTGGTGCTTGTAATGGAGACGTTCCAAACCTAGTCAAAAGAGAAGTTGCCAGCTGTTTGTAGAAGGTAAATAAGTAACTCTATTATTATAAACTAAGTAGCTACACAGTGTTATAAAATACACACATATACCCCATATTGTCCCACTAAATGTATAATGGGTAAAAAAAAATAATTACAGAATTTCATAAGGCTAAACAGACTATTTCCACTTTTTCAGCAGACTTTGGAGTACAGCCCTCCTCTGAGGGCTGAGTACTGAGTGGTACTGAGCCACAGCACTGTCTAGTACTTCTCCCTGCTGCTGCTCAAAGGATGAATCCAGTGAGCCATGTCACAGCAAAGTTGAAAGATGAGATGAATGACGCATAGAATTTCTGAGAATGAAAGTGATGGAGGATTACTAAATGAAGAGTCAGAATGTCAATCCTTTTCACACCAAAAGAGACAATATAGAATTAATTTCTTCCCTTTGGAGGATGTGTTTCTAAGCAATGAGAAATGAATAATGCAGGCAGAGGATATGCCAAAAAAATAAGTATCACAGCACTGCCTGTGAGGGTAAATATTCTGAAAAATAATGAGTTTATTTTTTTTAATTAGTCAGGATGCCACTTTAGAAGATGTCACTTTAGAAGACACTTCAGGAGAGGATACAAAGACATCACTCTTCCTACTTATTCCTGGAGATTAGTACTCAACCATCTCCCATAGAAGACAGGCAGTGGTCCCAAACAAATTCACCTGATCTTCCATCCATCTTATTACTCTTTTGCTTCTTCAATGTTGCATCAAATAACCATGACAAACTAAGTCTAATTCTATAAAAAAATTATGCCATAAGGTGAAAATGGCAAAAATAACACTTGGTTTTTCTGAATTATATTTACTGTTTCATTTTAAAAGCTGTTCTGAAGTTCACTTTTTGTAACATACAACATACTTAGCTGACTGAAATTAGACACGGTGAGCCAATTCTTGCTGTGTTTTTCTTGCTCATCCCAGACATTGATTTCTGCAGGCTCGGAGTTCACTTGAGTGTTCTGGGGGCAATCATCCACTCTAATCACCTGCCACACAGACAAAACAATACTGAATTACAGGATGACTAGCATCTCCAGCTCCTCTAACAGCATATGATGTGGCCTTTTAGAGCATCTCTGAAATGCCAATGAATGAATGAATGCACTCCCAACTGAGAAATATTTTCCCAGTGTTGCTACAAACTGCAGAAGACATGTTGCTTTTGTCTAGCAAGTACTGCAGTCTCACGCTATTTGAACTTTGAGACCTAATACCTTGACAGATACTAGATTTCAAAGTTCAAGTCCAAGACCCTTTGCTGACCTGTGTATCTTATGTAAACAAACCAATCTTCAGTATTCAACTCATTAAACAGTGATAATTCTTTCCAGATAATGAAGACCCTAGAAATTTCTTTGTCGGTGCTAGAAATAGATTTTTATTTATGAACACATGGACACAGTTGCAAAAGTAGCCCCAGATGTATACACAGTCATTTAGGTTCTGCAATGTGCTAAATGTTTGATGGATTCAGAGAAAAGTCTATGGAACTCTTGCCAGCAGGAGACAATGTTATGAGGCCTATCTTGCCTGAGTACAGTTATAAAACCCCTGGATATGGTCACTGCTTCAGTCTACTCTAGATCACACGAAACCTCCACAAGTTCTCCTGACAGCTGAAATGCAACAACTGATTTATGTTTCTCACCACAAAATCAGTATCAGCATGGTATACCAAAGTCCTTGGATGCCAGCAAATTCAAAACAGAAATCTCACACATCCAAAAAAAAGTAAAATTGAACCAAACCTAGACACCCACAGGAGATGCTGCAGTTTGTGTGCAGTGTTTTAAATGTATGCATTTTCAATTAAATCACACTGCAGAACTGTTCCTAAGGAACAAAAAAGACAATTTTGAGATTTACAATTCTCTTGCATCTGCCCATACCGGCACCTGAAGAAGTTTTTGATCCCTCTTTCCTCTCCCAGAATTTCTGTCTCTGTTTTGCTGTTTTGCTTTTGTTGCCTCACTGTGGTGTAGCTCACAGGATCCTGAAGATTCTGCAGGAAAGAGTCAAAAAACACCTTTAAGCTACAGAGTTTCTGTTTACTAAGGGAAAATCTGATAGGACTGAGAACTGGCACATGTCTAAAGCAATCTGAAAAAGAGTTGTTATATCCAAACAGTATTCAAGCAGTTCCATGCAAAGATGCACCATCCCAAGACATAAAACAACTAATGTCATCTATCACCTCATACTATTCATAATTAAAACTGGAATTCGATGTATTTTAATGCTTGGTAAGCAAACTTGATGGTAGACAGAGAGGTATTTAAACTGACTACAGAAATGTGTGCCTTTTCATTCTCCATTCACCCATCTCTGATACTGCTAATGTATCCCCACAGGATCATGTAAAGTATTTTGGTTCCTGCAACTCTGTCTTTGCATCCCCAGGGCAAGAGACTTCCCCAGAGTGACCACAATCCTTCTGCCACCTGGCTGTGTAGCCACAGACATGGAGATTCCATGAGATGGGGCAGATCAGGGTGGCTGACACACAGATGTCTTGCAGCTTGGATCCCAGGCACACTTTGAATATTCCCAACACCCAGACCCACACATACAAAGTGAAAGAGAAGCTATGGACTTTCACCTACTATCCTCCACTGCAGCTAATACCTTCTGGGCGCAAATGAAACATTTTTGTGATGTCTTGGATTCTCTAGTAGGAGATACTGTACACACTTTATGTTTTATAATTACCGCTTACAGCCTTGCACACTTTCCCTGATCTCTCTTTCTTAGGGGACGGTAAACTGTTGCTTCTGCAGAAACTCCAGTTTCTCCAGAGAGGGCTGATCCAGAAGGAGATGCTTCGCTTCAGCCTGTTCTGAGAGATGCTGCTGCTGTGACATGACTTGACAGAGTTGTAGGAGAAAGACTTCAAATCACTTAACTGGACATCCCTGGTGAGATTATTCTGGCAATTGTTGTCCCTGTCATAGGAGGAAGGTAGGTACAGAGCTTTCTTCTTTGAATCTGAGATGAAAACTCCTTTTTCATCACCTTCAGAGAATCCCCAGTTCACATAACCACCTTCAGTTTCTTCCCTGTCTTCACAGGGGGATGCTACACTTTCTTCAATATCCAGCGGTAGCTGGAGATCAAGGGGATGAGCAGCTTCTGCAGCATTAATCTTTTCTGATGGCAAATGAATAATGAAATCTCTCTGGCTCCATTGGTAACCTTCTGTTTCTTTGCCAAGGAAGCTGATACCTGGCAAGTTTTGAGGAACCACAACACTACTTTGCACGTCATCTCTGAATGCCTCATCCTTGTACTTGGCAGCAGTGTTCAAAAAGGACAAATTGAAGGTGACATCCTCAGAAAAAGACCCTCCCTGATGGTCAGGGGGCACCAGCAAAAACTGCCCATACCTAGGAGTCGACTTTGTCTCAGAAGTTACTCCTGAAGTGAGTGTGTCTGTTTCTATTTCTACTTTTTTAGAGTTGTCTTCTACCACCTTGTTACTCTCAGACTTCAAGAGTTTGCAGTGTGATGGAGACTGAGTCCTTACCAAGCTCCGTAAGAGGGAGGGTGGCATGCTGTAATAGTGGTATTTCTTGTCATACAAGCCTTCCAGGCTGCTCAAGGTCTTTGAATAAAATGCATTGCTCCAGCTATGGGGCTGCTTCCTACAGGTTTGATGTTTTGTGTCAGCCAGTAAGGCTTCTTTCACCTTCAAGGTGTCTACAGCTGAAAGCACTTTCAGGATGTCCACTGTCAGGGCAGACAGGTCTTGCAAATGTCCTAGATGGCTGTCCAGGGAGAGTAAAGACTCCTTGATATAAAATACCTTCTCATGCACTTCTTTAAGTTGTTGAAACATCTCTTCCACTCTAGGTAGAAAAAGAAAACATAACTAAAATACCACCTAAGTAGCAAAAGAAAACATAACTAAGATACCAAAACATAGGTCTTTACATCTGTTTGAGAGATGATGAAAGAAACCATTAATACATTTCAAAAAGTCAGTGTTTCAAACAGGCTTTTTTTTTTTAATGGTAACTTTCATTATCATTAATATCTGCATTTGACAAAAAGCAGCCAACTACCAGTGGGTTTCTTAAGGAAATGAACATTTGGCTCATGGAGTACCTATTTTAAAAATTGCTGTTTTCTTACTAATACCCTTTAACTGCCATAGAACTACTAAAACATTGATGTCAGATTACATTGGGTATGGCTGCAAATGAAGTATACTTCCTGTCAGTAGGCATTCTGTATTTTACATTTCTTGTGAAAGCATGAGAAGGAAAAAGCTCACACAAAATCTTTAATCCTGCATTTTTCAAATACTAGGGACTGCTGAGAAACTGGTCTTCCCAAGAACACATTTGGCCTCTGGAAGCAGATTCTATGCATCTTATGGCATCGGTTATCTTCAGGTAAAATTTAACTGCCCAAAAAACCTAAGCCTTATTTATTATCCTCAAATCCCCAGTGAAAAGTGGAGGAGCTTCTTGGCCTGGAATTAAATCCTTTTAACCAAATCATTATCTTTATATTTCCTGAAGATACTCTCTGATATTTTATCACTAAGACAATGATAAGCTAGCTGCAGGGAATATGCAGAAGTAATTTCTTTCCTTTGTCACAAAGTAACTAAAATATGTAGTATTAAGACATTGCTGTATAAAATTAAGGACCAATGTTCCAGAACACTTTGTTCATCTAAATTAACTTCTTGAATTAACATTATGTGATGCTGTGAAGAGTGTACCCCTTTAACCATGTGCACACTGCATGGGTCTGGGGATGCAATTCTGTCAGCAAGGCTTCCCAGACAGATCTGGCATGCACCTCAAGCAGATGCGGATACAGACACAGACACAGTTCCATCAAATTCACAAGGCTTATGCACTCAGGAAAAAAAATCCTTTCCAGATATATATTTATCTAGTAAATGAAACTTTCTTGAAGTAATCAATTCTGCAGTTTCTGAACAAAACTACTTATTTAATTTCTTTTAGAGGGGATGTTTCTTTTGCTTCTGTGTTTAATTTTAATACGCAGAAAATAATGTTATGCTTTCTCTAGGCAAAACAGATTTGTTAGATGAAATCAGTGTTGACATTCAGTAAGACTTTTTATAGTGTTCATTTTTTCTAACTAATCCCATTAAACGTAATCATTGATTTGCCATTGATTTCAACAGAAAGCTTATGTTTATTGATATTGTATAAACCAAGACACTACATTGCAAATAATGCTACAATGGTTTTCTGGTTGTTTCTGTAAACAGCAATTATGCCAAATCACAAGCACTACTCTGTGTCCCTACACTACTAAGCTTTTATGTAAAATTGGATATTGTATGCTGTTCTCTGGCTTGCTTTTATAGTGCTACCTGATCTGCACAAGTGAAACTGAGCAGCACTTCACTGTGCACACTGCACAGGTCTGGTGATGCAATTCTGTCCGCAAGGCTTCTCAGACAAATCTGACATACACTTCAAACAGATGCAGACACAGAAACAGACACAGTTCCATCAAATGCATAGGCATGTTCAGAGTGGCCATAACGAGGTCCAAAAGCATTAACTTATCAAAGCCTTTTTATATGACAAGTTTATACAAAGAACATAAATATGCATCAAAACACACCTTTCTGTGGTCAAACGGATCCTTTCACTGCCACTGGAACTCAGGTTTTCGTTCTTTTCAAGAAAATATTCTTCTACACACTGTTCCTCAAAGTCATGGAGTTTCTTTAACTCCTCATCACTCAGGTAGAGCTCTGAATAAAGGAAGTAGGAATCAGTGTGAAGCATGTTAATAATTGCAATTATGTATAAGCATGCATGATGGGAAAAAAAGGAAAAATAGTCAGTCAAACTTGTTTACGCTCCCTCCCTTGACAAGAATGAATTTGGCCTTGAGTAGGAAGACTCAAATACATGAAAATGTGGGATTTTGTCTTTCCTTACATAGGGAACAAAACCACACAGGCAAAAATTCCAGTACACTCCTCTTTAAAGCCTCAAAAATACATATTTGAATGGCTGCTCACAAAGATTAATTTCCTCACAAATATTTTCCTTTACTTTTTTATACTTGTGTCATTCACAAGATATGAACATGTATTACAGAAGTTTCACTCCATTTTGTCCCAGGCATTCATTTAGAGCTAGTCACCTACAACAATTACAGTCCATTTAGGTGCTAAAAACAGCAAAGCTTTTTTTTTTTTTTTTTTTACTCCTGATTGGTTAATATGCTCATATCTATAAAACATTAATATATCCTCAATTAAAGTTCAAATTTACAAAACATTAAGACCTTCCACCCCAATATTATTGGGGTTTTGAAAAAAAGCATTCAGAAGTTTAAAACTCCATAACTTGGGCTGCTCAAGGTGCTATTCTAGCACACCAAGACTTCTGAGAGAATAGCTCCATTACAAGGCAGTATAAAGAAACGCATATGGTGGAAAGCTGCTTCTCTGGTTCAAACTCCAAATTTTCCAAGCTCCTCTTTTCTGTCCTTTTTTATGTACCAAAGTCCTCACTGTATTTGCTAGAGAGGTGCCTGTTCCAAGCAACAAGGCAGTGTTTGCTACAAGGACGTAGTACTCAACTGCAACACACAGCTTAGCAGTTACGACCCCCCCATGGTGTTCTGGGGTTCCCCCTCTCACTTCAAATGAGGCTTCATCACCTTCCAGACACTTTTCTCCTCTATTTGACCTGTGTTCCTTCCTCCAAAATTTTTCTCTGTATCTTGGTATTGATTTTCCACAGGGTGGCCCTGGGTACTTGTTGTGAAAACCAGTAAAAGATGACAACACAAAAAATAAAGTAAGAGAAAGCTATCAAGCAAAAGTGTATAGAAAAGGTCCCCAGAGGTGCCTAAACAGAAAAAAAAAAAAACCTCTCCTGAGAGAAATGTAAGGAAGCCACAAACCCTCTTCTGTGCAAGGATTTTTAGATGTGCTAAGCAGGGTTTCAGTTTTCCTTCAGCCTAATGCTCCTTACAAGATACCCTTTATGCTTTGCCACTGACTTATGCTGTGCTTGCACATAAAACAAGCAATGGCACTTCAAAGGCAGGCTGGTGTATCCAGTTGTGATGGGAGAGCTGAATCAGGGAGCAGCAGTATAGCAGTTCAGCATTGACTAGGTAAGTCTGTTTTTGAGCTCTGTAACCACCTGTGAGCATGCCAAGTATCTTCAAGGATTCATGTTCAGCAGAGAAAATTCTAAGTGAGGCACACAGGGTCTGCCCACCTCTATTATAAAGCATCAAGGGCATACGTTGCATCAAAAAGGATGAGTCTGTATAATACTAGATACCAGTGCTTCCCAGTGTTTTTTTAGATATGATTACAGTCACCTCTTCCCCATTTCCCTGCCTCACACCCACCACCAAGCCCCGCTACTGAGTATTCGTATCCATCCCAGCATCCTGAGGTCCCTTTCCCACAACAGCTCAGGCTACTCCTGTCAGAGACAGTGGGACAGGGAATTGGCATCACTTTAAGAAGGCTTTAGGAAAGACCTGGCATGAAGAAGTCCAGGCTAAGAAAAATGCAGAAGGTAAGGTGCAATGATAAGCCAGTGCAGAAAGGGACAGAAGCAGCAAGGAGGTGGGAAGCCTCTCTGCATCTGCAATTACTGGATCTCCTCTACCCTTGGGCTCTGCAGCTACTTTCCCCCAGGTAATGAAAAAGGAATTACTGATCTTTTAATGAAAAACATACAGAAACTTATGCCTTTGGCACAGCTTAATTTCTTTTAAAACAATAAATTATTTCGTTCCTACAGAATAAGTTGCTGTCCCTTTACTTCAGCTCAGAGTTTGAGGTATCTTGACTGATGCTCAGTATGTAGCACAGCAACAGCTAACTACAAAGCAAAGCATTTCCCCTCTTTTTTTTTGGAACTCAACTCCACAGTGATGAGAGTGACAATGAACTATATCTTTTAGTTCCCAGCTTACTTAGTCCAACATCGCCTTCCTCTTGGTCCAACTCATTTGGGGGCTGATGGTGGAAGATGCGTTTTATCAGAAGCCCAATGTGGCTCAGGAGGATGAACGGTGGAGGCAGCCATGGCTTCTCATGGTAGGTCATGATGTAGCGATAACGGTTGTACTTCCAGAGCTTGTTGGATATGGACTTCAAATCAAAGTAAACATTACTGAGGAGAGAGCCACAGAAGGAGAGGGGAAGGAGGGTAAAACATTCATGTGAGGAATGCTTCAATATAGCACATGACACTTCTCTACAGATCTAATCTGACACTGGTCCCATTCCTCCAGTGAGGTAAATCAGCTTAGCAGTTCATGTGCCTGCAGCTAGTGCACTTAGAATGAGATCTTCAAAGCTGCCTAACAGCTTTGGAGATCCAATTCCCATTCACATTAATGGGAGCTGGGCAAAAGATGCCACTGACATGGCTTTGAAATCCTAGTCATGATATTTAAATTTTAATACATACTCTGACTGAAAATTCAGCATTATTTGCCTCTTTGGACTGGATTAAAAGTAGGTGTCAGACTAAGGGAAAACTTTAACAAAATAGGCTGCAGCTACATGAGCCATTCTTCTGCAGAATACTCATTGGAGCTGTAAAATTATCAAACGTGACTGCACTGAATAATTTTCTGTGTCTTCTACTATGACAGACCCAAGCACAGGAGAGAAATGTTGTCATTTCTAGCATTTCATTTCTAGTAATTTCAGATGCACTGTCATTCTACATAGTTAACACATAATCACAAAAACATCAACTTTCCTTCTGAGAGCATAATTAAATGTATCCTCATACCCACCCATTTCTGGTCCCACTTCTGGAACAATCAAATCACTACGCAGAAGATTTACCATATCATCAATACATTAGTTCCAGAAAGAATTCAGATAACAATTTCATACATGTAAAATAATACATAATGTATTAAATAATAGCTTGATTCCTTGACACAATTTCAGGAAAGGGATTTCTTATTGGAAGTGGAAATAAAATGGGTTTTGATAGTTCAGGTTTTCTTGCATATGAATGAGTTATTTTAAAATTTGAATTTTTTTAACCTACAGCTGACATTTTCTTCCCCAGAAATGCTAGAACTTTAAGAAAAGATAAATAACTGCTTGCGTTAGGCTGTTCTTTACTAATATTTTACAGAACTTGCTCCACTACAAGGGGTTAATGTTAAAACATGAAGCATTAGAATTACTAAAAAGACACTGATAAGTGTTATGAATTACTATAGAATTACTATAAAGACCTTTTGTACTGTGGCAGCAGACATTAAAAGGCAAATTTTTGGGAACACTACTGTTAAATTTCAGTCTACAACATATGAGATTGCTTAAAGTAAGAATTTTCAAATTATTTCCTAAAGGAAAAGCATACTCCTACTTTATCCTCTTCACTTGAACACCTTTCACTTATCTGCTAGTTTAAAACTTGGCCTCCCCTATTATGAATGTTATATAGGATCTTAGCACAACAAATACAACTTTTAGGAAGGGAAAATTACTTCACAGATTAATTAATGCTGGGGTTTTTACCAACTGCAATTGTCCACTCTCATTCTTTTTAAGTGACAAAGAGTTTAGCTGTCTTCTCACTATCCCTTTCCTTGCACCATCTAGCTAGTGCCATTCTTTCCTTTATCTGGCTTACCCCCATGGCTGATGGGGTACAACACTGCCAGCAATGTGCCCTTGCTGGGGCAATTTTGGTGAAAACCTTTCCAGAAGTGCAGGCAGAAGACACATTAATTGCTTTTGTAGCAATATACCAAGGTACCTACTTAAAAAATGCAATGAGCAAGTTGACCATGATGATGTACTGCACAAAAAGATAGACAGCTTGCAGAAACGGTGTGAGAAAGGAGCCAGGAGGACAGTCTTCATTGGCTTCACAAACTGGAAACGAAGGACACAGAGCATGGGTAGCACAGAAACCAGAGCAGAGCACAGCAATGGACTGTGCTTCTCATTTGTCCCAGCAAGAAACAGAATAGTCCTAACTAAATTTCACAGAGATTAATCACTAAATTTCCAAATTGAAGATTGACCTCTACCAAAGAGACCTCTTTGTGCTACTACTGCCTTAGTTACCAATGTTCAGAAGATGTAGACACCACTTCATACATATCAATTCTTATGCCAGACATTCCACTTTTAGTTAAAGGGAGATACGCAGCTGATATGTATTTGGGGGACGACTTTTACCCAAGTAAGCCGAAATCCAAATCTTTGATCTTTAAGACAGGAGCACCACAGGCGTAAAGCAGCAAATAATGGAAATTAGGGGATCCCTTCTGATATTTTTAAATCAAAATAAAGTCAAAATAAATACTTCTCAATCTTTTTAATTTCTAATCAAATTTAACTCTTTTGAGGAAACTTTGAAACATACTTAAAAAGAAGCAGCCCTAAATTCAGGATATATTCTGCAGGATAAAGAGTCACTAGAGAAATCATAGCTTTATTTGGGAAGTGTCAAATTTCTAAAGGTTTAGAATTATTAAGTGATTAAATGGATTAAACTGGGAAACTTAACAGTGTGCTTTCATTAAAATAATTTTGATTTATATAACCAAAATACATGTGACTGTTTCAGCAGTAAATAAGGATGCAACGTGGCAGATTATTTTAATGAATGGGGTCTGTGCTGAACTATGTACCTTAAATATATATATTTCTTTTTGCATGACTACTTTTCTACATTAGGGACTTTTCTATTTTACTTATACCTTTAGTCAGTAGCATGAGAGTGCCTTACATCTATAATGCTTAAATATCTCTGGAGTGCCTGTTCCTCTCTCTTACTGAAAAAAGATCAAAGCCATAATCAAGATACATGATTTTTCCTATTTACATAGATTGGTTCTATTTTTCCTATGTGCACATGGTTTATCTGTTTAAGAATGGTACCAGGTACATTATCTCTCTCTTTCTTTTCCTCTTTTATTCTTTCTTCCTTAAAGGCAACTTTTCTCTTTTCTCCAAGAGATTAGCAACTTTGGATTGGAAATTTGTTTCACTGACAGATCCCCTGACCAGGAAGTAGCTTAGTATTAGTTCCTATGCACTATAACCTGATATTTGCAGGATATTTAATTTGAAACACTAAATTTGAAGTGTTTAGAGTTTAAACCAGTTTAGTTTTCACAAAGAAGCTCATATTTTCAATTTCATTCATGCAGTATTACTCAGTACAGACATACATATACTGGAATCAGAACTGTTTAAGGAAGAACAGACTCAGTAGGTAGTCAAAACTCAGGAGACCAAAATAGACATGCTTCTGCACATATTTAATTTAAGCTATTGAGGTATAGTCTCAATATTACCTACCATCTATTTCTCCAGCATAGACCTCACCAAACATCATCCAGTAGGGCTGAAATACAATATCTCGTGCCAGTGTCCAAGAAGGAGGCTCCTCTGGTGAAAGAATCGCCTTTCGTGACACCCCAAAACTCAACAGGACTATGGCCATCATGATCACAATATAGAACATGTTTCCTGTCTGGAAGACATGTTTGCATAAAAGAATTAATTGTGTTAATTATATGTAAAAGAGTGCTCATTCATTCATTTAGCACTCTTCATTATATAAAGAGTATTCATTTTAGGGAAGAGTATCAATCATTGTTTTTACAAATCAGAATATAAAAGCAGGGGTAATCATGAATATATATGAATAATAATACACTAAAGGAAATAAAAATATTTTGTTTCTATGACCTAGACTACATGAGCATTTTATAGATGTTAAAATCATACTAGACCAAAAAAGCCACAAGTCCTACTTGCTTCATGTGTGCCTCTTATATCTTAAGCAAGATCTAAAAAATGCGGAGATCTTACAATTATTTTGTTCAGTGGTTCTTTCAAAATGAGAGAAGGAACAGCAGTGAAAATTACTTTGCTTCTAAACAATTACCATGAAAGACAGAATATAAATGTATTAAGAAGAGAATTCTCTGTAACCGAGGCAAATAACTAGGAATTTTCACGTTCCCCAGGACTAGACAGCTGTACAGCAACAGTTCTTACAGCAAAAGAGAAACAAGATTAACTTTGATTTCACAGAAATTTTGACAGATAAATGGGGATATAGTTATTTGAATTAAAAAACAAAATAATAATGAAACTATTCCCAAGATTTAGGGGAATAATCTGTCACAGTGAGCCCATCTCCAAGAGGCAGTGACTTTTCTTTCTCCTGTTACCAAGCTAGATTGGCAAACTAACTCAAATGCAACCCTTCTCTAGGAAATGAAGTAAAAAATTACTTTTGTGAATAAAGCAATTTAATTAATAAATTAAAGAAAAGTATAATCTGATTATGGTCAACTCACAAACAAAAAAATCATGGTATTTTCAAGTAAAACATTCACTGTGAACCATTAGACTACTTCTCCTTTTCTGTAATTTCTGAACTTTACATATTCCTGAAGGTAGATGCCTTAGCCACAGAAATATTGATCCAAAGCACAGTACTTACCATCTTCCCAACCATTGTCAGGTATGGGCCAGCATGCTGATTCACAGCAAAAAGATCAAGGAGCCGAGTATACCAAAATATGATATCCAAGCAGTAAAGCACCCTCCCTGCAGTTTGAACAGGGGGGTTGGACCACCGCAAACCAAAACCAATCATAAACAGGATGATAGCTACAGAATCAGTAAAATTCCAGTATTCATAAATCCACACCTTCACCTTTTGGCAGAATTTTCCAGGTTCTGAGATAAATACCTGATTAGAATTGGAGTAAAAACATGATAAAATACCATTAAAATCACATATATATTATTTGACCTTTTCTGTCTGAATTATTTCATATTTGGGAATATATCATTGGGCTGTTTGGAAATGTATAATTTCCTCCCATTTTACTTTTTTTTCTTTTGTCTTAGACCAATTTATTGCATATTACCATTCACCATCAATTTAGATTTTTTACTTAATCTATAGTGTCACATTGCTAAAGTATGCCACATCAAATGGGATAGCTCTTCCTGAAAAAAAAAATAGTTCCTGAATCTGAATCCATTCACTAAAGGACACATACCTCAGGGGAAGAGAGCAACCAGTAAAGAATTTTTATGCACACATATTATTAGAAATTAACAAGCATTTTATAGAGGAATGGTCATGACCTGCAGCAGCCTTTTCATTAACCCCTAAGTAATGGAAAATACCAGCCTAACCTTGCCACTGGGAAAATAACTAATGTCCTTTATTTCAGACAAAAAATATAAAAATCCTTGTATTCTGTCAAGGGCAGGTTAAAAAAAGGAGTGTTAGCAACTAGCAAGGTAAAGAATGAAATGTACTCCTTGAACTGTAAGGTGACCCAAAGGGATTTTAAGCTTCACTGAGCAAGTATGTGAAGTGGAATCCTTGGGAGGAGGCAAATAAAACGTTTGCACATTGCCGCAATTGAGGGCAAATTATGCAGTGCTATGTGAGATCACACTGATAAGTACCAAGTAAAGGAGATATTTTGAAACGTTATGCCCTGATCTTGCAAGAATTTATGCATATAAACACATTAACGTAGACAAGTGATCTAGACTAACTCACATAAGTAACTAGTTGCAGGGCCTAAGGCTTCAGCAATTATTTGATACAATCTAGAGAAACAGAGGTTTGCAGCTATATATAACAAGGTCCCCAGCAGCTAAGCAACTGCATGGCTAAAATAGACTGTCCTACAAAGTCTTTGCCAGCAGACCAGAACTAGAACATGGATAAAGAAAATCAAGTAAAGACATAAATTTCAAAGTGTCCAACCAATGATACTAGAAAGAAGTGCTGTTCTTTCTGCTGTCCCAGCATCATGATGGTGCAAGAGAACAGCAGTGATTTCAAAAGTGCTTGCTATTTTACATTTAACATTTTAACATTTTTCTCAATTAAGAAATCCTGATATAGATTTTTCCAGTCCTATCTCATGCTGATACTTGCAAGTCTGTTCAAGATGTAATATATTCCCAGTATTTTACTGTCCCTTGGAATCTTTCACCTTTCTCATACTGATTTCACAGTCTTCTGAGTGATCTGTATTTGCAGTATCCTTTGCTCAGAACTGTGGCTGGCTTTTTGTGGCTGGTTTTATTCCTCTGAAAGTACAGCATTTCAAAAGTCATACAAAAGACTATTCACATTACTCTTATTTACTGTGTGCTGATTCTGAAGTGAAGGAATGTCAGAGCAGATACATTAATTGAGAAAATACATAGCTGCATTTGTCCCTAGACTCAGGTTTGTAGTGCAAGTTGTATTCAGAAGCTTGAGTCTAATCAACTGCAAATAATTGCAATAATTTTGATTAGAATATATATATTTTTTTTTTCTGGGCTCAATTAACCCAGCATTAAAAGTTGATTGTGGTTTTTTTTTCCAAGTGCATTTATGGAATGCTGGTTAGACTTGAGGGAGAGCCATAGATTGTTCTGTGCAAAATATCTATTTATTCATAACAATTTATTAATTTATTAATCACTCAGATTAAATATCTAAAGATAGATTTTATTACAAGAAGTCTACTCAAGAAAATTAAGGACCAGCTGCCTATGTCAAAGTTCGAAATCTCAATTCAGCAGTCACCTACACATTACCAACCAGCTCTACACAGAAACTTAGAGAATTAAGGCCAAAATTTAAGATGCATTTTGGACACCCAAGAACAGGTCTTCTAATAAAAGACTTCCAATAAATTCTGTATAATTCTCCATAAAAATAAAGCAGGATTTAGCATTCTTCAGAGAGGTGTCCCCTGGTTTATAAGATGAGAAGTTTGAATGGAGAAACTTACCTCCCTGACTTTTTCAATAGCAGTAGTGAAAATATAAATTATAACAAGCCACTCTTGCACACTCGGTCTTGGTTCCATCTTCACCAACACAGTGTAAGTAAAGAGCATGAGGAATGCCAAGTACGACATCTGCCAAACACACAGTGTATAATCCATACACACAAAAACCTCAAACAAATTTCTGCAAATAAAACAGCTGATTTGCCTCTCTGTAGGAACTTAAACTACTGGGACACTGCCACATTTTTGAGCTCACAATGTTTATTCCAGTTCTCAAAAATTTTGTTTTGTTTTGCTTTGTTTTTATGGGAATCTCCCTAAACATCATCAGAAATTGGTACTTTAATGCTGAAAAAATAGGTAAGAGCAGAAGGTAAACAATTGCAGCATATGCTCATCTGCATAAGAGGCAGATTATTTTTATCTTGGATGTTGGACTAGATGGTCTCCAGAGGTCCCTTCCAACAATAAGTATTCTGTGATCTGCACCATTCCTTGAATGCAAGGGCAGTCTTATGCTTTTATCCTAGCCTTCTGTAGGGACAAACAACAATTCTCAAAGTTAAATAAGTCGCTGCTGGTTAATCTGTGCCTTCCAAAACACAGGAATGATATTAGGTGGAAAACACATATGATCACAGCCTGATCTTAAACATCCTGAGCTCTGCTGACACAGGGTTACTAAAAATGATTTAATAAATGCACATTTCCTATAGCAAATGATCCCCTATAGATAAATATTTGCTTTTCCAGAGACAATTCTTAAAGAAAGGGACATGAGTATCAGTGAAGTAGTAAAGATACAGAAGGCCACCTTCAACTCTATCTCAGTCTTTGCAACTGACCTCTGTAAAAGCCTGTACTTGAGTTTTTCTTTAGTGCCTTATAATAGTTTTTCTGTGGTTTTGGGTTTTTGGGTTTTTTTAAGTTCAGTTGTATCATTTTAGCAGACAATCTTTACACTTAACTATCAGAGAAACATTCAAATGGCTTCCCATCTACACCCACCACTAAGTGACTGCAAATCCATGCTAGAAAAAGTAAAAGCAGGATTAAATGGCATTTGAAGGATCAAAAGAGGGGTTTATCAATCCAAGTTCTAGAATGATGACTAACCGTGTGAAACCAGAACTTGACAATTGGTGCATTGTAGAACTCATAGATTTTTCTAGTTCCAGGCAGGTTTCCTTGTCCACCATCTCCTTGGCTTTCATCAGACTTCTGAACAGCCTTTTCCACATCATAACCCTTCTTTAAAAGAAAACAGCATTCTTAAAATTAAAAAAAAATGGTCTATAATTGTAAAGATAGTGAGGGAAGACAGACACAAATGTCTAAACTTAGTTCTGGATACACCAAAAATTACTGTAGCTTGGTTTTGTCTGGTTATAAATATCTCATTTGCAATAATCAACATGCAGTCTGTGAAAGATGCTCTATATGGCACAGCTCTATTTTCTGTATATTTTTAATAGTATTTTGTATAAGAATAGCCTGTACTTTTACTAAAGACTAATAGATAAAATCAAAATTAACATTAAGTAGAATGTGTGTGAGCACTTTTCTTAGCTGCCTCTAGTAGAGTTACTCCCTTCCTGCACTAGCAATACATGTGAGGCTGGGAAGCACTTTCTCACTATGGTCAGCACAGAGGTGAAATCCAGGACAGATGAAGTAATTTGTACCAAGTTCACTTAAGTCTGTATCCAAACTAGGGGCCTAATGCATACTTCTGCAGAGAATTGGCCTCCAGCCATTTAATTCCACCTGATGAACATCGTCTCACTCCTCAGAACTGCACTGTGGTAAACAGACAGACTCTGGCACACAAACGACTGATCCTCACAGACTAACCAAAGTATCTTTAGAGCTGACTGGGCTCTGTTCCCCGTGGTACCATAACTGGTGGAAATCTTGAGACTGAGGCACATGAGACATTTCTGCCTTGCTTTTAAACTCCAGCATCAGGATGGTGGGAGGCAGAAGAATACTCATAATGACCTAGAAGAGAAATACAAGATTAATTAAGCACTGACGGCATAACCTAAGGCCACAGTCAGCCACGCCTGGTGCCAGTACAAATCCAGTGAAATTCCACTGGCTGGGGAAGGAGTCACTGTTGCTGGGAATCTGTATCACAGTCTGACAGCCTCAAGATTTGTGCTGCTCTTGGCTGATTTGTGGCTTTAAAGAGTGTCATTGTACCTGAGGATCCTTTCAATACTGCTCCCTGTGTCTGGAAAGCATCCTTCCCACCAGCAGCTCTGCCAGGGAACAGACAAAGTGGGGAAGCAAGAGCAGGTGAGGAAGAACTGAAAAGTGCTGAGAGAATGGGAAGAGCAACAAAAAATCCTTGATCCTAATATCATCCCACACATGCTTTTGCAAAGAAATAAAACAGAAGCAAGTACTGTTTTCCCTCCCTGGCTTCTGTTTCCCAGATGTTCACATTCCACCATATGCTTAAGCACACCTGTCTGAAGCTGCATTAGCCATGCTCACAACCAGAAAAACTATATATTAAGCATCTAAAGAGCACCTAAATGGTCATAAAAAGAAACAGAGCAATGCTACCTTAAACCAGGAGTTCTTCCTCATCTTCAGGCGTCCCATCCACATGTCAGTCAGCAGCATCTGTGTACATGTGTGGGACACAAAAGGCCGCAGCCCCACAGACACAGCCAGCTTCAAGCAAGTTGAGTTGCTCCAGTTTTTCAGTTCATAGGTCAGCAACTTCATGGCCATCTGCTCATTTTGTTTGAATGCTTTGTCCAGCACATCTAAGGCAAGCTGCCCAAATTCCCTAAAGCAGAAAGGAATTAACAGTCAATATAACAGGGATCAGTCCACACTCAGAGTTACTGTTGAAAAGAGGTTTCTGTGAATACTCGGATAACTAAAATCCAGCTGTCAATCTCAGTAAGCAATTTTTCTCATTCCTTTATCAATATACCTAGTGAAAAACAATTTGGGATGTAAACCTAACAGTTCAGTCCTAAACACAATGTTTAGGGCCATCCTGTTTTGTCATTTTTTATTATTTTTTATTTGTTTTGCTCTTAATCTCTCTCAGTGATCAAAATGGACCCTACAAAGTTCTTTGTATTTACTTTAACCAACAGATTCATCACCACTGTGGGCAAACATTGCAGCCAGTTGCAAGAGTCTCCCTATGCATTACTCACCTATATTTTTACATTACCCGCTTTATATTTTTATATTTTATATTTTTAAATATGCATTTAGGTAATATGCAAATAGTTTTCCTTTAACTCTCCACCACATTACACGCCAGTACATAAACTGGATATATACATCCATTCTATCCAGTACATAAAAATATCCATGTATGGATATCCATTATATCCATACATAAACTGGACATATATATCCATTATATCCAGTACATATAATGGATATATATATCCATTATATAGTATCAATAGTGAGTATCTGAAAGTACTTTTTTAATACTCCATAATCCATGGTATCACTAACTTTACTAACTCTTAGTGGATTCGGGCAGTCTCTAACCATTCCCAGCACCAGAGAACTTGAACTGAAATGAAGGGAGAACTCATACTTTGAATACTTCTTGAGTTCTTCTGAAGTGTCATCCACCATGTTGCTCTGTTTAGCTTCATGTGCCATTGCTCTGTAGAGTTTACAAGCAACAACAGCTTTGACCATGGCTTCCTCTCCATGCTGCCAGAAGAACATAGCCATCTTCTGTCTTTTCATTAATACTGCCCAAACCAGGAGGTCATTATAGGGGTAGATGAAGCCAGTTGACTCATAATGCTCTGTGTAGTTTATATCCTCTTTTGATTTCTTCTTATACTTTGGGAAAGGGCTGGATCTTTCCTATAAATTTGTTAATAAAAAACAAAGAAGGAAAAAAAATCCCAGCGAATGGCTCAGGTTCAAATTAATGAAAATAAAACTGCACGCAAATCTGAATTACAAGTGGCAAACTATTTGATAGCTATATATATTTAAGTCATAAACCACAGCTGTGGTGTGTGCTACTGGACTGTGTTCAGATTACCAATGCTAAGAAGCTGGTAACATTAGTGATGGAAAAATACGCCTTGCTCTGCATCCATACCTGTTATAAATTCCCTTTCCATAATGTTGGGCACACTCCAAACCCCATGATACCCATGCTTTTACTCTCTTTTTCATATGTGTCATGATAAAAGAAAACGTACACAGTAGACTGAATTAAACATCTTAGATACTTAAAGATTATTTTTGCTGTCTGTCCCACTTGTAATGTGAACTTGCTGTACAGCCATATCTGGGTATTTCTTGCTGAATGGTACAGGAAAAAGAGTTTTACTGATATAAGAGGAAGTCTCAGTGATATCATGGGTATATTTTGGCTCTGACTAATTCCAGCACAGCCATTTAAATTCATTTTGCTTTATGCTTTGTCAGATAGATAGATAGATAGATAGATAGATAGATAGATAGATAGATAGATAGATAGATAGATATTAATGCCAGTCTTTGCTCTTTTATCATTCTTTTTCTGAATGTGCCTCTTCTTAACAATCTTACTATAGCGCTTTAATAAGCCAATCATGACAAAGCATTAGGAAAGTCAGTGGAACCCTATTTCTTCCAAATTCAGAAGAATTTTCACACATGCTTGATACTCACAAATTTGGTGATACTACATGTCAGTGAATTAAAGCTTTTAGCAATTAAAGCATGGAAGTTAAAAATTTATCATAATGTCTGGGCTTGGTTTCACCAATAAAATTTCAAGATTTGTACTTTGTGAGCAGTGAGCAGTAAAACATTTTTCCACTGCAGTTTAAGTAGAATTATAAAAATTAAGAGCCTGGCCAACATATCTAAAATATGTCCTAAGCAAAGTCTAGAATAAGCAATTATATTACCTTGTATTTGTAAGGCTGCGCAGTTCTGAAGAACTGAGAATGCAAAGTACTTTCAGTGGATCCCATTCCACTCTCCATCTGATTACTCTGATGAAAGGCATGAGACAGGCTTTGAGGCAAGCTTGAGACCACTCTCTAGATCCAAAATCAATCCATAAAACATGAAGAGAGAAATACAAACTAGAAATAAAGTTTGCTGGTACTTGGTGACTACAATAGTGCTGTAGAAACTGATGTTATTAAAAACTAATGAGTCAAAAATCACCATAACACTGAAGCTTATACCATCAAGGAAAAAAAATGGCCTGTTTCACACTTCTGTTAACAAATAAGTATTTTTCTGAGTCTCTGAATTCAAAATAATGATTTTCCACACATAGCATCCACAAATAGCAATAAGCAGTGTTTCAACAGATGGAATCACCCGGTCTGGAAGCATTTCTGAATGCCAGCCTTTATAAAATATGCCATAAGCTATTTTAAAGACAGAACTCTCTGAACTTTTTGCTGATCATTTCCTCTGAAGGATGGCACATCCATCATCTCTGTAAATTTTGTTCAGTGTTGGCTAAGAGGGAAGGAAGCTGAATCACTAATGCTCTTCCCAACAACTCCTAGTTATATGATTATATGGTTTCACCTATCACTGTTAAGGTCATATTTCATTAGGAAAGAATGAAAAGTGTTATAACTGCTCACATCTTTTTAAAGCATTATGTTAAAAACGAGTGACACACAGAAAGCTCTGTCTCTCTGTTTCTATTCACTCCAAGTTGCAGGTTTCATTATTTCATCTCATTTTCCCTGATCATTATTAGGGTCTTCTCTTAGTCATGAAAACATTTCATGGGGATTAAGAGGGTTTTTTTGTTTGTTTTTTAACATATGGAGGTACTTAAATGTCCAGTTCTACTCCAAAAACTAGGGCTTATTCTTATACAGCAAATCTATACATTCGGCAATGTTTGGAATGACTTTCAGCTAATTTATTGAGAAGTTTAGGCTGTTTGTAAGCTACTGATTTTGGAAAACCAATAGGGAGACTGCTCACATGCCCTAAGTCTACTCCAAGGCATGTGGAATTAAGTATTTCTGTGAGGCAGCTCAAGCTGCAAGAAGTAAATATGGAACTGTTTCAAAAAAGGGAAAATAGTGGTTGGCACAGTTTTATCATACCTTATTGATGAATGATAGACAAAACGCAACCCAGATACTGAACAAAAAGGTAAATTTACTGAACTAATAAATAATTTAGCAACCATAAATAATCTTGCGGTTTTGTCTCTTTTATTGCAAGCTATCTTACAGTTCTCAAACAGAAAAGCATGGCACACATTTAAATTATACTCTTCAGACAAACCAGGATGACAACATGAGCTATTTTCAGGTGTCACATTTTGGCTTTTCTTGGTGACCAGTATTTTGGAAGAAGCTACCTTGTGTTTTCTGTAGAGATCATTGTAGAGAACTCGGAAATGCTTCCTTGTGTAACTGCTCCGGTAAGCTTCACCGAGGAGGTACTCTATCACCAGTCCAATGTCAATCAGTGATATCTTGTAATCCAAAGAAAAGCTATTCTGAAACACCAAATGTCACAAATGTTTAATGGTGCTGTTATATCCAACATTCAACCATGTCATCACCTTCCTATTGTAAGGGAAAATCTGGAAAAGTGTGCATCTGTAAGGAAAGTGTACTTATTCATTATGCATATGGAACTCTTCTAGAAAAAGAGAGGAAAATGTGATTCCTGCAGTTCACTGTACCCATATTGCATATTTTGCAATGTTCACAAGATCAGCTGCATCCAACAGTGAGAGTAACTGTTCCTCAGGACAAGCACCAACAGCAGAGGTAGGGATAAAAACCTTCCCATAACAAGAGAAAACTAGCATGGTATGATTAAGTACTTTGATTAACTAAAATTGAAGAAGTAGCTGAAGCATGCTTTTAAACTGAAGCAGAGTAATTCCTAGAGATTGGAACTATCCTGTGAAGGCTGTCTTGACTGTCTTGACAACTAGGACAACAGCAGTACATGCACTAGCTCTACCTTCTGAATATCTCACCTCTTCTGCTTTAAACACCAGTGCCCATCTCCACTAGCCTTCCAAAATGCAAGGTTGCAACAAATTCTCTGAAAAATATATTCTTTTCCATGCAGATTTTTAAAATTATTGGTAAAATCTTAAACTGCAACTCTTTGAAGTGAAAAATGGGCCTGTATATAAATGGGATCAGAGATGTTACATATTCAAGGCAGTGTAAGCCTTTCAGACTGTGAAAAGTCTTTTTCTTCAGTGGACTGAGGGTGGTTTTCAATATACTTCAGTAGCAAGCCTCAGTACAGTCAGCTAAGGCCACTCAGTCCCAGGTCATTGAGAGTCAGGCAAGTACTTGTGAATACCTAAGCTTGTAGATACTTTACTGTGCACTAATCCCAATCTTTTATGTCATCAGAGCAGACTGATGTATCTTCATTCAATCACAGCAGCATCAAAGCTGTTCACAGTAACAGAAAATATTCTGAAATCCAGGGTCACATCACTCTGTTAGCTGTCCCAACTACAGTGTCACCATGATTAATCAGACTGCAACTGCATAACCCATTCACAGAGCACTTATGTAAACTTAGAGAAGCTCAGGTGCAAAAGGCTTTTCAGCATTTAGACCTGTTAGCAGATCCCAAGCTTAGCTTACACAAAGGCAGAGAAAGTTTTTAAATTGTGCAGATGTTTTTTACATTAATTACGTTACTGGATGTCAGGTGCCAAAAGCTTATCTTTAGATCATACACTGGGTTTTCCCAAAGTGTCCTGAGATACAGAAAGACAAATATATATATGGATTTTAGGGAAGCAATCATATCCATCATTTCAGTGAAGAAGAGAGATTTCTCAGCTTGGAGAAGCTCAACGTTTTTTCAAGATTTAGACATTTCAATATATAGATTCCAGATTTATAACATAAATTAGATCTCAAATGTTCATATGGAAAAACACAGAAAACAGTTGTTATTGAGACCAAGATAGTCTACATCTAACTAAAGAACCATAAATGGGACTGACATGAAAGTCACCCACAATAACAAAATGAATCCATGAATCCAACAGAACTCTGCAAACAGTCAGACTTACAATTTCATTTTATTTTAGCAATCACACTCTGGAAATAATTAGCCAATTAGTCTAGATTTAGTTCTAGGAATCTCCTGTGTTGATGTCTAGATGCATAAAGAACAGCTCATCCCCTCCTGTCTAAGTAGTGCTGTGAGGAACAACAGATAACAGAACTGTGAAATAAATTAATGATGTATCTAAATAACAAGGCTGCTGCTAAATCACTAATGGAACAAGTGCTCCATGCAGTAGTCATCCAGTGCCACCTTCTGTTCTCCTAGGCAATGCAGCACATCCAAATATCTCTTGCCACAGTATCTTTTCATTACTGCTCTAAAAAGGAAAGACCTTAACTTTGGGGAAAAAATAGAAAACCTTAAAGAAATGAGCATTATCACTACACTAATTTACTAAGTCTTGTTTACAATCACTTCAAAATGCCAGTTTAGTAACATGAGAAAGAAAGTCTGATCTGGATAAACTCCTCGGCTTTGAAATTAAGGTACAGGACCCTTGGGAACCTCAGCAGCAGTATATTGGTTACTTGCTTAGGGAGCCAGTGGAATTAAGATGAAACCATTTAGCAGACACATGACTGCAGCAGTGAAGCTATCACTTCTATTTCCAAAATTCCCCTGTATTATATAAGAGCAGCTTGCCAGTGGACACTGAAGTGTTAATCTAGCATTTTTTATCCTCAGCCTTTCCTATATCTATTACCTGTTTCACATCTCGAACTAGATGGTGTAAAAGTAGATTTGATGGTCCTTGTTTCTGTGGTGTGAACAGAAAAGACAGTAAACAAAAGTGTCACTTTACACTAGAAAATTAATACAGTATAAGAAAGCAGCTTAAAAAAATTTCAGAATAAACTACTGTGGTTCAAACTCTCCCCACTCTGCCCACAAATCAAAGACTTCAAACCAAACAGCAACACACCTCTACTATCTTAAATCTTGACTTATTCTAGAAAGATTTGGTCTAAACAACATAAAATTTTCAGCAAGTTAAGTGCATATTTCATATCAGATTAAAATCTGAACATATTTCTCATCAGTTTCCAATATGTACTCAATCTAGTTCATGACAGTGAATCAAAAATATCAACCTGGTACACCATTTCCAGATCCCCACATTACAATAAAAAATAATCAAACCCATTAATTTTCCTTTTTTTTTTTTCAAAAATTCTTCATAAAAACGTGGCCTAATCATCATACCCCTTAAGCAAAACAGCATTTTTCCAGGCTTTCATATCTAAAGAGGTACACTGGGATTTCAAACACTCACTGTATTGTAGAGTTCTTCCAAACGAGATATGGTAAGAAAACGGTGCATGTTCACTCCATGTTCTATTAACAGTTTAACAAAATCCACACGATCCATGACTAATGCATCCAGCATTGCCTGTTCCAAGGCACCAACCTCCAAGTGGACAGAGTTGAAGGAAAATACTAGAAAATTACTTTTGGAAATAAATAAAACATTCCTGGAGCTAGTAATCTCTCCACCACAATGGCTTGTCTCTATGTATATTTAATGTGCAAGTGCAAAAGAAAAATATGCTGGAGGATACATATGTATAAAAAGCCAATAGAGGGGAAGTAAAACAGTTTCCATAAACCCAACATCTGTAGAGATTTCTACAAATGTAGCTTTACAACCAGACTCTGATAATATATTCTCTACTCTGTAATTCAGTTCAGAAGATAAAGTATGATAATGCAGGGCATGAAAGGAAGCCTTTTATTTTTTTTTTTGACACATGACAAAAGGTGTTTCAAAAGTGCCATAGAGAAGTCTCTATAGAACTGCAAGTTCCTTAAAGCAAACTTTTTTCCAAACATGAGACAGAAAGTGTATGTTAAAATAAACTCCCTCAAAGGAAACATAAAACAGAGGTCTACTGACAAGCAGTGTCCAAATGGTGGAAGTGCTCTACTCATGGCATTTGAACAGAACTAACAGGGCTTATACATGCAAGTGGCAGAGGAGTTAGACATATGAGATTCATATAAATCCATATAGTTTTTCTACAGAACACATATGCACAGGAAATGCAGTGGGGTGAGCAGAATGAGGAGACTGGAGCACTAACAGGGCAAGTGCTAATGTTAACTTGAAAATAGTACCTTCCATATCTATACTGAGGTTTGACAGAAATTATGTTAAAAGATGACCAATAAATGTTACAGAATTCTTACACATATAAAGAAAACTTTTGCACTGATCCTGAATTATTGGGTTTTCTTCCAGAAATATTTGAGAATGACTAGCCACTCTTGCAATTCTTAAATATCTCCTAACAGTCCTTGAGCTGGCAGTGCATCTGAAGAGGTCAGCAGCCCTTTTGTAACTATTAGAATGGTGTTATTTGGTATTTGAGGTAGAGTTGACATATAAACAGAAACACAGGCACAGCTTGTTATAACCTTTACCTTCTAAAGTTCTAAGGCTAGACTTCTAAAAAGAAATGGCCATGATACATGCATTATTATACATGTTTCCTTGAAACATTTAAATAGACAAAAATATTATAAGAGTCCACAATCATCTAAGAGCTGATCCTTAAATATTCAACTCAAAATTTCAACACATAATGACAATAACAATTCACAAGATGTAGCCCCTGATAATTGCAGGTCCAGTGGTACCTGACTGTCAGAGTGTTGCTTCACTTTAATTAAGAAAGCAACTATTTTAAAGGCAAGCTTTTAAATCATCCTTGTACATTTGCTTTTTTGTTTCCTATTCAGTGCGTGAAAAAGTTTAGGGTTTTTTTTTCCCTGCTTGGAAAAGAAAAGCATTCAGGAGAATATGCTATTGTAATTTTTCCTTGGAGAAGCAGCAAAAGATGTGAGGCTTGTTTATTATGAGATCTTTAAATCTTACATGAATGGGAGAACACAATTACTATTTGACAGTGCACTTTCATTCAAAACAGTGCTGAATACTGTACTGAAATAGATATGAACAGATATATGGATTTTTTTCAAACATATCAGAAGCAGAGTGGGAGTAGGGGGATTGCCAGTGGACCTGTAAGGACACAGGATGAGCAGGTATAAAAGAAACACTTAAAGCTACTGTAGACATAGCAAACTAATTTGTTGCCCTACTACTTGCTACTGAACAGGCTGGGAAAGTCTCCTGTCAAAGCTGTACCTTTTCTATGGCAGAAAAATCTGTGGAACTGTGTCAAACTGAAGCATCAGTAGAAAAAATTATAGAAACCATCCATGAAGTGGTAGTGGCATTTACCTGTGGTATTCACCTAAGAGTTTCCAGAGAACTGAAGTACAGCTGAAATTATCCCCTTTAACATCAGCAACATAGACAGTAGATATTAAATATGCAAATTGTAAAAAAACAAGCTGTCAAAGTATGGCATATCAATACAGTTAGGAATTTGTAAAGACAAAGATAACAGAAGTACATTAATTACAACATGAAAAAATACAGCAGAATAAGAGAAAGCAAGGTAGTTACTTTGTAGAGAGAAAACAGAATTTTGGGAATGACAGGAAGAAGAAAGTTCTAGTGGACCTATCTCCTGCAATCAAGAATATAAGCCAGATATAAGTTACAAGCATTTTTTAAAGGCACACAGCCTATTAGGATTTATCCTTAAGTTAATAGAGAACAATCTGTAAAAGAATAAGGTTTTCCTAAAATATATAAATGAGAATATTGAGTGCTGATCTACCTATCCCAAAAGATGACTTTTACATCTGAAAATCCAAGTACACAGAAGAGCAGGAAATATTGTCAAAAATATGGAAGAACTGAACTGACATTCACCTTGAAAAAGCCAGGAGTAAAGAGGATCACCTGCTCAATAGGTCCCTAACCCTTCTGTGTTGAAGGGATGGGGATCAGAAGGATGCTATTATTTCCCTAACACATAGAATCATAGAATCACTTAGCTGGGAAAAGATCTTTAGATCATCAAGTCAATCAGCAAAGCCAACACTGACAAATCCACAACTAAACCCCATCTCTAAGTGCCACATCTACATCTTTCAAGTGGTTCTGTGGTTTATTACTCAACACATCCCCAAGGAGCCTCTTCCAACTGTTATAGTTAATGCTTCTCATGAATAAATTTTTTCCAATATCCTATCTTAATTCATAGATGTTCAATTGTAGACATCCCAGGCATAGTCCTCCCTATAGTCAGCCTTATGCACCATGGAAAATATGGTCTGGTGATTTAGAAAATCAAGTCTCTTGTTGTGGCGAACAACCAGCTATGGTCATTCAGATATATATACAACTGCCCATTTTTCAAAATTTATGTTTTAAAGAAAAAAATACACGTGGGACTGAAAAAAAATCAACTTTCTAATCCTTGGCAGGGAATTAAAGAGTACTTCTGCTAAGTACTTCTTGGACCATTTTATTTATTGAAGAAAATATTAATTCATATAACAAATGGAAAAAAAATGTGTTCAGGCACAGAGTTTTGTATTTGTCATCTACAAAAATCTTCTTAGGTACACAAAAAACTCACTTATAGAGGGTTATATTAAATACTGGATTACCTATGAAAATTTGAAAACCATAGTTTAAATTTAATTAAATAATTTAATTGATACTCTATGTTCTTTCACACATATGTAACTAATGCAGGTCTAAATCACGGCTTGCCTTCTGTAAGAACCTGAAGAATGCACTTAGCTGTCCCAAAACACTGTCCTCGTAAGATAAGACACAACAACAGAACCTGAAGCATAAAGCTTCAGAACCTGAAGCATAAATGGCACAGCAGGAAGGAGTTAATTCCAGGCCTAACAGGGGTGAAGACTTGCTTAGCACCTGGACAAAAATTCCCACTGTGGCAAACTGTGAGAAAGGAAGCAAGTGCTTATCTGCATGCCAACTCAAGCTACTGGAGTGAGATTTCCCTTATGGGAACAGCACATCTTGTAAGTACCCAGGACTTTAGACTGTCTAAAAGTGGTACCTCCAGAAGAACAATTCAGGCACCTCACTTCTGAAGACCAGGGTGAAGAATAACCAACAGGGCACTGCAGGAATCCATGCAGTGGTATCTTGTGTTTAACCTCTCTCTCCCACTCGCTTTCTCTGCCCCCTTCTCTGCCCCCTCACATTTACTGTCAAAAAAATCTCTACTATTGGGTATGGTCTCTACAATTCTACTTCTACACTTTAAGTTGAGCAGAGACATCTCTTATAATCAGATCATAACTCTCCCATTGCAGCTATTCCTCAGAAATAATATCTGAAATAATGACATTACTTTTTTTTTTTTTTTTTT